AATGTAAAAAGACATTTTTTCAAACCTGTCAAGGTAGCCATTGCTTATATTGGATCCAATGTGTTTTGTTCTCTAATGCTAAATGCTGACTTTGCGATTACAGCTTTTATAACTTGCTAGGTTTGACCAGTTCTCCCAATATAGCATACTGTACAATGAGAAGTTTTAATTGCCAGGTTATTTTTGTCTCCACTGAAGGTTACAGGCTGGTTGAATAAATTCTTGCAAATGGTAAAAATAGGAAAAGTGACATTTAATGAATGAATGGAGGATACTATATAGGGATCTTTTTGAGAATAAGTAGGGCTTTGAATTGCTACTATTTGGAATATGCTAAAAACCTGCTGAGAATGCATATCACTTTAAAATAATGATAACAGCTTTTCCCAAAACTGCATTCCTAGGCACACTTACCGTGTTGTCAGCCTGTTGAATGGTGAGACTGATTTCTGAGTAAACGGGCACATCTTCCTGTGAGTATTTCTCCTCCAACTTTTGTGGGCAACGAAAGGTCCCATGAAAGTATGGGTGGATATATGGCCCCAGCTTTACTCTGATCCAGCAAGACAGAGCTTTGGGCACAAGCAGGGTTCTGTGCACTTGTTGCATTAAAGTGCTCAGATCTGTGCAGTCAGAAGTTTGTCTTGGCTGGAAGCCGGCAGTCAAGAATTGGGACTGAACATGAAGTCCTCAGTGTTGGATTAGGAACCATGCACACAATTGTGCACAACTGTTCCTCTCCCATTTCAAGGGAGTGGGGAGCCTTACTTGGGGAAAAGGAAGAGGGTAGCAAATGGCAGGAACTGAAGCTCCATCACAAATTCCAGAGTTTCTGAAAGGAAATAACACATTTGTGTTGGAGAAGCAGTTCCTGCAGATAGGAGTGCCCTGCCCTGCTGCCATCACCTGTGCACACTAACCTGGGAGTAAGCTGAACTGAAAAGTGGGATTGTGATTTATGCATCTAAAATACGCAACAATCAGGCCTGAGTAAGATTCGTTGAAGGTTTGGAGCTATACTAATTTGCAGCCCCCCCAAACCCCACCCATGGTTCTTTATAGTACAATGATGCCTCACTCTAGTTAAAGGAAGAAAAAAATGGTGCCTGTGGTACAGTCAGATTATTCTTCCTTCTGTATCTTCACAACAGTTATGTGAAGGAGACTGAGCTGAGAGTTGGTGACTAGCCAAGGCAAGAACTAAGCAAATGTTCAAGAGTATTTTCTTTTTAATCTATCAAAGCTGATAAAATGGTTTTTTTTAATATGTGTTTTGCTGAGTGTTATAAGACCCCATAGGCTCAGAATATTTTTTGTAGTCCATAAAAGCTAATGCCATGATGAAATTGATAGTCTTTAAAATACCACATAACTTATTTTGTGGTACCATATGTTATGCATCCATGTATACATTCGTGGGGCAAAAATGTGAACAAACAAGTTTAGTTTGGGCCCCAGAAAGGAAGCTGCACAAGGAGCTGTGTGACTCCATTTGGTTTTGAAGTCATACTTAACCATTGAATTTTGGGGTAACACAGTGCTGATCTGGTTAAATTCTCTGACCCTAGCTTGGGGGACACAATGCACTGTTAGAACTAAATGCTTATTTCCTTTTTGGTCCTATTTTATCCCCCACGTCCTTTGCAGAAGCAAGAAAGCTGACAACCTCATCTATCTTCTTCATCATGGGCATGGATGTGTGTGCTTGTGAAATGTACAAATTCTACTGTCTTCAAGTGAAGACACTTGAAGCAGCAACTTCTTAAAATGAAACACACAAACAAACTAAAAAGGGGATTTTAACATGCATGAGGAAGTTCTCCAACTGTCCAGAGCTTGCAGCCACACACATGAACCTTATCTTTATTCAGAGTCACTGCTGCTGACAAATTTACCCAGAAATTCCAGAAAGAAGCAAAATAGGGAAAGGGAGTTGTCAGCAGGCTTTGGGGGAGAAAACACTTTAGGGGGGCTGCTTTATTCTGCAGAAAACATTTCATTTTTTTCACCTGTAACAGCAGTTATGAATGCTAGATATATTTCACAGATGATCGGCCTTCTTGGACTATATAATTGTGTGTGTGTGTGTGTGTGTGTGTGTGTGTATGTATATCTTTACACTTCAATATCTTTAATAAATGTAATGATTTTTTAAAAAACCCTTCATATTTCTGCCAGGTTTTGTAGGGGTATTCAGAACCTGTCCTACTCCTTGCATCCAGTTTAGATGTTTGATTTTGAATAAATCTGAAATCAAGCACAATGATGAATACCTTTATTTTTTTCCTCATTCTCATACACGGTGAGTAGACAAAAGTTGTGTCATCTTCAATAAGTTTGATAAGTTTGTGTCAGGGTTGTGAAAGAATTGGGGTTCATAACAACTATTCTCCTTCTGGTCTATCTTTGGCACTTCTGTGTTTTCTGCTTGCTCCTTCAAGAACAAATCTTTAGTCCAATACAGCTAGTAAATTGTCATTTCTCCCCTCTTTCACTCTCTTTGCAGCCAGTTTCATATATGCTTAAGATATACTTTGGCTTTAAATTTATAAAATCAAAAAATGCAAACACAACAACAAAAATAACAACAACCAGAGTTACTCTATTGGTAACTTGGAAACTTTCTGTACACTTAATAATATTAAAGTTCATATTTAAGTCTCTTTTCCATAGTCTGAGGAAAGGATTAAATAAATTTGCTGCAGGTGCCCCTGATATACATAGGAGGTTTCCCCAGCCACTCTGGGGGGCTTACAACATATCTAAAAACATAATAAAAACATTAAAAACTTCCCTAAATAGGGACATCTTCAGATGTCTTCTAAAAGTCAGAAAGCTGTTTATTTCCTTGACATCTGAAGGGAGGGCATTCCACAGGGAGGGTGCCACTACCGAGAAGACCCTCTGCTTGGTTCCCTGTAACTTTGCTTCTTGTAGTGAGGGTACTAGCAGAAGATGTTCAGAGGAGGACCTCAGTGTCCTGGCTGAGAAATAGGAGTGGAGATGCTCCTTCAGGTATACTATGAAATATTTGAGCTTTACTTTGACTTCCACAGATAAATCTGTTAGACTTTTTCTAGGAAACTATTTTTACATTAGAGAAGATCCAGACAAAGCAGGATCTTTCAAAATATATTGGAATGGGATTAGGATTTGAGCTAGAAAGCCTCAAGGTCATCTCTGGTTCATTGACTCTACAGTAATACAGTTCAGTTCTGGTCTGTAGAAGGACTACTTCAGTGCTCAAGGCTGCCAAACAGGTCTAGCTTTGTTCAGTAGTTGGTTAAGTATAAGCAATTTGTCAACATAGGAATATATATATATATGTGTATATATATATATATATATATATATATATATATATATATATATTGTCCAGTAGCACCTTAGAGACCAACTAAGTTTGTTCTTGGTATAAACTTTCATGTGCATGAACACTTCTTCAGATAGGAACTCATAGTTTGAGACCCTTCTGAAAAAATAATATTTTGTTCCATAGCCACTTGAAGGTAACAGGACACAGGTAGTGTCTAGTACAGTCAAATCAAGGCTAGCCAAGGTAGAGAAACTCAAATCACAGCTGGCAAATCAGATTAAGGTTATTCTATACAGAGAGCAGAGAAAAACAGGACCTTGGATAGCTCCAAATGAACTGATGCTACAAAACCCTGCTGAAGCTTTATGTAGAATGGAAAAGTTTGTAGGGTGGTTGGCTCTACTTTCCTGGAGGAACTGGCTAAGTTTTTGATGGACTTTGACCTGATTTTACAGTATTTGACTCCTACATGCTGGGGAAACCTCCAAGGGTGAGTCCAAGCATGGTTGCCAGGCTGTATCCTCTGACTGGGAGGTTCCCTAATATAGTACCAACAGTTATCCACCTGAATCTCATCCTTATTGGTGTCCTCTGTTGTGCACTGCAAGGGTCAGGGGCCATTTGGTAAACAGGGCTTAGCTTTCTCCCCCACCCCTTCTCTGGGGATGATGTCGTCCAACTGTGTCTGTGTGGCCTGAGCCTGCAGTTGGGGTCGTACTAAGACTGTCTGAGGAAAAGGTTGGAGTTGGAGGATGTCTTGGAAGCTGCGCAGTACCTGGGTTTCCTCAAAACCAAATACAGAACTAGTATCTGTTAGTGTGTGAAAGCTGTGAATCTCCACCCATGCACAACCTGTATATACGTGTAAATAAACCATGTGTCACAAAACATAGTAAGTCTTCAGTAACCCAACTGGAACTTGGGTACATGCTATACCCCTGGAGTTATCACTATTCAGAGGATTGTGTAAGAGTATGTTCCTTATTGGGAACCGTCAATGCTTCAAATGATTAACCAATTAGCAAAATATAAACATTACCAAAGCTTTGTTGGGATACTAATTCCTTGCTCAGATAGTGAATGAAGTGTGAATTAAATTACAGTTTAATAAGCAATCATACCATTCATTGCAGTCCTGAGCTCTTCCCCATTGTGTCCCACCCATTCTACAAAATATACCTGGTAGCAGTGGCAAATTTGACCCTCAGGACTGTAGCAGGATACTTCTTGCAATGATACATGCAAGATACAATTCCCATCAATCTTTAATAGGGTCAGCAGGATCAATGGGAACTGCCTCTCACATGGAGCGACATCTCTTCCCAATCCATTCAAATCACTCCCAGCCTGGTTCAAAGGGGGCTTGAATTGCACCATGACCCTATATAAATTGTCTTATTGCTTGAATAATGTGTTGATAGCTTTTGTACCCTTATTTAAAACAGTTTCAGGAACATTATATGCTCCAAGGCTGCTGATAAGCCGTGCTGGAAGATCAGTGACAATCAAGTGCTACTATGAAACCACATCAGCCAATAGACATGGCAGAAAATATTGGTGCAAGGAGTCAACCAACCGTCACTCTTGCCAGACTATCATTTCAACTAACGATTTCACTCACAAAGACTATGAAGGAAGAGTGTCAATGCATGATAGCCCTCAAAGTGGGATTTTGGAAGTGACAATGACACAGCTGGTGAAGACAGACTCCAGTAATTACAGATGTGGCATTGGCAACAAAAATGCTTATGGTTTTCATGCTGGAGTGAATCTAACCATTTGGGAAGGTAAGCAAGCCGTTGGAATCCAAACAACTTTTTTCAAAAACTGGTGAAGCTAAATGAAGGGCTATTTTAACAATGTGTTTTGTTTTGGGGGGGGGTCTGCTTTTTCAGTTGGCTTGATGGGATAATTTTGCCTGCTTTTTCTTTTTTTGGGTGTGTAGGGTGTGTGTTTTGTCTCTGTTGGTCTGTGTTTTAGTCTGTGTGTATTGGTGCTGTGCATGGGGTTTTTGGGGGTAGGGGGAGGAGAAGGATCTGAGTATTGCTTCTTTGTTTTTCTTTTAAATGGGTATTTTGTGTATCCACAACAGGTTTTTCCAAAACTCTTTGGACGGCAGTTGCTTTGCCACCTATTCTCTAAACAAACCAAACCACAAGTGCTATTAGGGATATCCTGGTTTAGAAAAAGCAAAACAAATATATATTTGGGTAAAATTCTATGCTAAGAACTTAGTTCAAAAGACTTCTTGGCAGAAATCTGGGATTCAGATCAATCACTTTCCAGTTCTGCTTTTGCCTCACTTTTCTCTATTAACCTCCAATAATCATGGCTCTTTAAGCTCTCTCATATCTGTACTCTAATGTGGAGCCATTATCTATAGATACAGTTTTCCATTTACAGTTGTTCAAAGGGCTAATAACCCATCTGAAAAACGTAGAGGCAAACAAGGCTTTCAATAAATTGCTAGGTGGATGAGGACAAGCCCAGCTTTTGCATGTATTTGGGTTGCTTAAATGTTTTAAATGAGAAAGTCTGTTTACATTTTGTGCCTGCTTGATTGTTGTTTTATAATTAATAATTTAATTCCTGTCCTGTCCTTTCTTACAAAGGAGTTCAGGGTGGCAAACAACAAACTAGCAAAACAATACAATTACATTAAAAAAATTAAACATTTCAAAACAGGCACATATCCTCACAGCTAATGATCTTAAGGAACAGCGTCTTTCAGTCACCAAATGCCAAGGTGAACTGCAACATTTTTAAATTCTTCCTCAATGTTAATAATGAGAGAGACAGATATGCTTGACCAGGGAGGGCATTCAGCAAATGGGACTCAGCCTCTGAGGAGACCCTATCATGGGTCAGTGTGAACTGTACATCACCCAACAGAAACACCACCAACCGGGCCTCTCCTGCTGATTGTACCAATGATGTGCCAATATCATTGATATTGGTAGAGGTGCCCTTCATTTCTTCTCTTTCTCTAGTAAAACACCTTTTTATATTTTCATATACATGCACTATTGGCTGTAGTAGGTAGTAATGATTCTTTGAAAAATTGTTTAAGACTGGCGGGGGGGGGGGGAGATAGTAATAAATGCTTTGATTTATTTTCTCCAAACAGGTCCAAATATGCCAAAATCACCTGAAATACTTTGGGGTAAAGTGAGAGGGTCAGTGATGATCCAATGCCCAGTGGAAACTGCCAAGTCAAGCATGAGGAGATCCTTTTGTAAGATGAGGAGATCTGGCTGTTCTCTCATAGCAGATAATAGCATGAATAAGGGAAAACAGCAAGAAGGAAGAATTGTTTTTACTGCTGGAAATAGCTCAGAAACTTTCAAAGTCTTCATAAACAAACTGAGAAAAGAAGATTCAGGAATGTATAAATGTGGAACAGGAACGTCTGATGACAACACAAGCTCAAGCATCATACAACTGGAGGTCACAGAAGGTAAGCAGAGAAGTAAAATGACAAAATCACAAATGTCATAATGGCCCTATGAGCTGGTGGGTATGCATATACTCCCTCTGCAAATATGGGAGATAACCCTCTTCAGAGCTTCAATGATCCTTGGGCATGGGATTGGTTTTGGGGGATGCAGAATGCCTTGCTCCTCTCCTTGCTAGCCCCAACCCAAAGCAGTAGGAAGTTCATTTTTCAAATTTGCTTTCCTTCCACCTCCACTTCTAAGCCAGGCTGGCTGAGGGCTTGTTTCTGCTGTCACTTTTCTGGTCCAATTAGTGACACTAAAAGTCTTCTATAAAACCAAGCTGCCCACGAAAGAGTGTGCTGGCAGAACTAGACACACAGTTTTGCAAAAATGTTTCCTCAAGTATTATTATTTCTAAAAGCATTTCTTTAAAAGCAATTACAAAATTACAGTGCTTCTGGAAACCACCTGCCTAAAGGGGTTGTAAAATGCAAAAGAACATTCCTTGCCAAAACATTTAGCTTTTCCTTATCTTAGCAGCTCATCTGATAAACTCGTCAAGTCTAGACACTTCCACTGTATAGGGAATCACATATTAATCACAGCTTATTAAGTGAAGTCTAGCTTCAATTGACGTATTCTACATGACCTTATATGGAGACATCCCTTTCTGCTGGTACCCAATACATTTTTGGAAATTGCTAAATTCTTTTTCACAACCTTCTCTCATGGTAAGAAGTCCCACAGCATCTGTGCAACCGAAAAGCTAGGGTGTGGGGCAGGCAAGCAAGGAGGCACTGAGCAGGTTGCAGCACTAAAAGTGGTCCAAGACCTACTGTTTAAGACTGCTCTAATCCTATAGGCTTGAAACCACTTCCATGTGTCTGACAGTTGGTAATGTTCCTGCCCTGAGCAGTGTGGATATACCCAGAGGAAGTTGAGGAGTCACAAACCTTGCCTGAGCATATACTCTTTTCATGTAAACCCACCACGGGGAGCTCTCAGTTGAAAGAGGCTGCTACTGAATAAAATCCCTTGCCTTTCTGTGTGTGGCTAAATCTGTTAGAACAGGCAGGGCCCTTTCTAAGAGAAGTTGTTCCAAATCCCTCCGGTGAGCTGTTGCCATGATACCTGTGCTCTGCTTTCTCAATCAGGGTTCTATGGGAACATGAGGCATGTATGATAGCACGTGGTTCCTGGCAGGTGTGCAGAGGTGCACTTGAATATAATATGGGGGGAGGGGAGGGCAAGTAAGCCCCACCCCATATAATAGATCACAAGATGCAGTGCTTGCACACCACTTTATCACTTTTTATCCTGGGCTGCTCTACTTTGAATGGTGAATATTTTATTGGGGAGGAGAGGCGAAGGGAACTTGGCCCCTAGGAGTTATTATTATTTATTGAATTTATATACTGCCCTATATCTGGAGGTCTCAGAGCAATTCACAGAATAAAATCAAAATATGAAACCACAAAATACATAATTGAAATAAAAACAATAGCCCAATAACACCCCTCCCCCAAACCCCCACATTTTAAAAGGGCATAGGATGTCAATCAAATCAGCCAAGTTAAAAAGGAACATTTTTGCCTGGCGCCTAAAGGTGTATAATGAAAGTGCCAGGCAAAGAGTTGGCTCTTAGGTAGGGTGCGTGTGTGTTGGGCGGGGGACAGTGGGGAGGTGGTGCATTTTAAAAATGAATGTACAAATGATTCCCTGTGCATGGGCGACTAGATTTTAGGAAGGAAGGAAGGCTATAACTTTCTCCATGACCTCCCTTTTTAATGTGGAAGGCTGGGCTGTCCCACCCATGTGGCAGACTGAGGAAACTGTCTTGGGTGGTGAAACTCTAAGTGGCAGCACCCCCACGTCCACCCTGCCACCTCATGAGATCTTTCTGGAACCCGCTGCCACCGCCACTTCACAGGCGCTGCCACGCAACCCAGGTAAGAGAGGATTTGGTGGTTGCAGGCGCCTTTGGTGGCAGGGCAGCGGCGGGATGGGGTGGCAAAATGGGAAAGGAGATTATAGATAGATAGGCAGATCGATACACAATGTGTGATCAGGTGAGATCCCCCACATTCCCTGTAGTCTGAAGTGGTATAGCTCAAACATATATTACTATCTTAACAAGGCAGTATTACTTCACCCTAGGGGTACTTTTTGTAGCATTGCCCTTTATGCCTGCACAGTGAATCACATGCAGACATCCAATCTGGGGTCCCACTATAGCATAAAGCTCAATTCTAAGTGGATTCCAGGTGGTGAGATAGGTTGCTATGTGCAGGTCTGGCCCAATACATTTTGCCGCATGGGACAAAAGACAAGATGGTTCCTTCACCTTTTGATGCACAGAAGGCAACTTGGCCTGCAGTTGGATGTTATTTCAATTCTGTCAACTGCAGAACATCACTCAGTGCTTCTGAGAGGATTAGGTTGATCAAGGGGGTGCAGGATAGGACACACACAACCAGATGGGTACAGCCAATAGGGTTCAAGAGAAACAGCTAGTGGGTTGCTGCCGCCTTCTAGCACCTGCTGCCTGAGGCAGCTGTCTCACTCTGCCTCATAAAGCTGGCCCTGATGAAGTGAAACCACTGGCAGCTGTTGCATCATGATAAAGGTGGTGGATATCCCTCTTTCTGGTCAATGCTAGGTGGAATAGGACAGTGCTGCTGCCTCATACAACTGTACAGTTTCTGAGTTGATAGCCTCTCTGGAACTGATGCTGCTGGCATCAGAAGGGCCAACTCTCCATGTACCAACTGTGCAGCATCTTCCATGGTACTGGCTGCAGAGCCTCCACTTACTCGACTGCCTCCTGGAGTCAAAAGGTAAAGGTGAGAAGGACCCTGTTCCTACATTGCCATGCTGCAGCCTCTTTCAGCTTCATCCAGCAAAGCCTTGGGCATCGTTCTTCTGACAACTCCCTCTGAATTCCAGTTAATAGCACTGAAATACAGTTCCCATAATCCCCACTCAACATGATCAATGATCTGGGCCAGTGGATGGGAGTTGTGGTTCAGCAACATCTGTGGGGCTACAAGTTGGCCACCCCTGGTGTAGGAACATTCAAGAGCATCTTGATTTTCAATGATCCTCAATTACAGAATCTTTTTCCTCCTAACAGAATTGGTTTTCTTCAACATCGTAAATGATACAGCAACCACATATGAGCCACAAACAATCTGGACATCCCCCCACAGTTATGTGACAGCTACAAATGAAGTTTACAAGCAAAGGTAAAGTTAGAAGATGCCTTGTCTAGTTTAAGCACATTCTCATGCTCAGTGGCATCCAGCCATTCCTCTAAAATTTAAGTTTAAAAAAATGTCATCCAACCAGTCTGAAAAATAGGCGCCAGTTTAGCAGCTGATGCCAAGGAAAGAATGAGAAACTGATCCAAACTAATGTGCTGAGTCTTCTAGTTAAAATACTAACATGTGTAAATGGGGGAGAGCTGCTAGTGTTCTGCACACTTAATATATGAACTGCAGTTTCCCAAAATAGCCAGTCGAATGCTTAGAAAGGAAGCGTTGAAAAAGAATTATGCGTTGCAAGAAATAAGGATGAGCCAGTAGATGGCACTCCTTTCACTGGTGTTAACGCTTATTACACTGCTGCAAACGTTATTTCAAACAAAAAAACAAAATGCAAGGTCTATAGAAAAATTAGAGACAATTGATGAACTGATGGGTGGGGAGGGTGCAATTTTGTGACTGGGCAGAAATCAGAGCAATCATCAAAAGGGTGGTAAATGTTTGAGTGTCCTGTGCGTCTCTCTCTCTCTCTCTCTCTGATTGGTGGTTGCACCGACTTTTTGCCACACCCTCTGCTAGATTGAAGTCTCTGAAGGGTTAGCTAAGGGTGACTGTGGCTCTGTTGTAAAGGGCAAAACATGCCAATTCCCACCACAACACAAGGGTAATTTTGAACTCTTTTGCCCCAAGTCCTAAAGGTAACAAGGATCTTTAGAACACCAGACTATCTCTTATCTTCAGTGCTTTTTTCCTGGGGGTACGTAGGGGTACGCATACCCATAAACATTTTGTGAATCTAAATTTGGCCTCATTAAGGGGCAGTATTTCAATATGAGTAGGAAAATGAGAGTACCCCTAAATATTTTTTTTAGTAAAAAACCATTGCTTATCTCCAGAAATAACCTGGTGAGCCCCACACTCATGCTATATTTGGGACTCTTGTTATCATGAGATGCCCTCAGAATGCTTTTAACCAAGTATTTTAACTAGCCAGTGATGCTTAAGGCATCTGTAGTGTAGGGGCCCTGTCTCTCACCAAGGTGAACTCCTGAACTCCTTTTGATCCCACTGGGTGATGCTCCTTTGAAGCATTGCTTGCCAGCTTCTACCCCTTCTGAGCTGCCTTTACTTCCTCTCTCCCCTACTTATTCAATCTCCCCTATCTTCTTGTCTCCATTTTATCCTGGGCTGCTCAACTTCTCCTCCTCCGGGAGGACATTTGGCAACTTACTGGTCTAATGTTTGGGCTGCTAACTTGTATGAGCTGCTCCTGATCCCTGCACCGGCACCAAAAGAGATAGATGTGTAACAGACACCCACCAGCCACTGGGGAAGTAAAAGTTTACACATGATGACAAGCAAAAAAACAAACCCAAAACAAAACAAAACAAAACAAAAAGGTCTTTTTTGTACTATGTCTATTTTTAGGTTGTCTGAAACTGAACTAAATCTACTTCCAATTGTGATACCAATTTTGCTTGGATTTCTTGTTCTGGCTGCAGCTGTTATCATTGTATTTCTTAAGATAAGGAAGCGAAAGAAGGACGGTAAGCAAAGCCGTCTATTCTCTTGGTGCTTCTGTGCATTTGGTTCTTGTTGGGGCAGCAAAATATGGCACAAAACAGCCCTTGCTGGTATCATGTTCAGTTTTCATTCACAATGGATGCAGGTTGGCTAAATCTTGCTGGTCCAAAGTTTGTCCGATTTAAGCTGGAGCATTTGTCTATGTATCCATTATATCAATGCACTTGAATCACAACTTTCACAAGGACACTGGCTGTAAATCATAAAATGCAGACACCATTGTAGTTGTGCAATACCAACAGTACTGTACGGGCCTATTCTTTCCTTAGAAGTAAGTCCTACTGAGCTCAATGAGGTTTAATCCCAGGTAAGCAGGTATAAGATTCCAACCTAAGCGGTAAAAACATAATTCCTACAAGGTATATAAGGAAACAGCACAAGGGCAAGAACATGTTTCTAGAAGGCCTGGCAGCATAAGACTTTAACCTTAGAAAAATGAGGCGAAAGAGCTACAGTAGCAACATGGGCCTTATAAGTGACAGTGTCTTAAAGCTGGGTTGCCACTACCAAAAAGGTCACACTGCTTCTCTTAGCCAGGACAAGCACCTGGAGGAAGCTCTCAGCAAAATGTCCTCAGTTCCTGAGGACATTGGCATGGCAGAATTCATTCTCTAAAGTGTCCCAAGCCATGTGGAGCTTTAACAGCAGTACCTTGACTTTAGCTCAGAAACAAATGGGCAGGCAGTACTCTCAATATTGGCACAATATGGCCTGTAAAGCTACCCCCTATTAGTGATTGTGCAGCTGTATATTGGACCTGCTGAATTTTCCAAACCTGCTATGCAGTAGTCTAATCTAGATAGCATCTATGATAGGTGCAAACTCTCCCTTTTCCAGAAGAGGGTGCAGCTGGCAAATCAATAGAAACTGGGGGGAAAAGGAATTATCTAGTTATCAAGGAGCAGTACTGGCTTCAAGAATGCTCCTCTGCCCCAAATCTTGTGTACCTGGTTCTTACAGGGAATGTGATCCTATTCAGAAAAGGCAGTGCACCCACCACTCCTGGTTTCTTAGGTCTCCTATTTTCAGGAAGTAGTGTGACCTATCTGGTGAGGGCCCAAGTTGTCCATGATTTTTGCCTCAATAGAGAGCCTATCTCAGTTTGTTTCATTGTTAAATGTCAGAAACAATAGTGGTATGTGATGGACCCAGAGCACCATTAGTGGTGGTGGTGTGACATTTGCCAGGACAGGATGGGTGGGGGCAAAGCATTGCTTTGAAGATGTTCAAAGCACAAGCTATTTGCACATGAATATTATTTTGCCCACTGGCTTCTCTGGGACAACTCTCACTGCCAAATCTAGTAAACCTGCATAACATATTGAAACATCAATTTATTTTGAGACTAGTGGTATGTCTTCTTAGCCACAAAAGTTACCCCAGTAGTCAATGGATGAAAATGTAATTATCTGTTGGGTTTTTACCAAAAGCTTCAAATGACATTCCTGCAAGAAACCCTGAAGGAGCAATAGCCCTGGCTGGCCGACATTGTTCAGGAGAACGACCCATGGAAGAGCAAATAGGCTCAGCGGATGAACAAGAATCTGCCCTAGACCCTGACAAAGGTACGAGTTCTTTCTGCTTCTGTGACTTAAATTTCCTTTGTTAGATGAATATCAATAATATTAACCTCCTTCCCAAAATGTTGGCCACAATCCATTGCACAAATGCGTGCAATGGGCTTCTTTCTTTCTTTCTTTCTTTCTTTCTTTCTTTCTTTCTTTCTTTCTTTCTTTCTTTCTTTCTTTCTCTATCATTGTTTCTGCATGCAAAGAAATATGTGAGGGGCAGTGATGGAACACCCCCTTCAGCACATCTCTTTTATTGTGTTTTATTTATTGAGTTTGAGGGTGACGGTTTGAAGCAGAGAGTCTTCCCTCCTCTATGCATGGAGATTCCCCGTGGGATTTAGAACCTTGCCAAATCACAGTTTCATAGTTCTGGTGCATGGCTCCCATCTGTTTAAACCCTTTTGTCCTCATTTTCAATATCTTTTGTAATAAGGAGGTTCTGATATAATTATTGGATGACTAATTTTTTTTAAAAAGAAGAAGCTATGAACAGCAAGCTTTATTATGTTGAACCGACTAATATAGTACAGTTCTTTGGGGTCTTACATTAATTTAAAGCTACTGCTTTGTATGGGGTTGTTAGGATACTATTAATGCTCAAATGGTATTAAAGTTTCTTGTGGCTGTAGAATGTTGAAATCTGGAGTCAGGGTATATTGATCACATGGAAACTACTGAATAAAATAGCAAAAATGAGGCTGAGGTGGTTTTTTAAAAAAAAATCTTTGCAGAGTTGGTGGTTGTCAAGCCATCCTGTTTTGGACCATGTTCAAGTACTTTAGAGGCAAGGACATAAAAGTAGTCCCAAATAATTTAGCTTCTATGATATAACCTAATATTTCTCTCTCTCTCTCTCTGTTTTAGTTGAGGTCCCAGTTGAAAATGAATATTCCTTGCTCAGCCATGGGGCAAATCCCGAAGACTTGAGAGAAACTGATTGACTGCCTTTTCAAATGAGGTTGCATATAGTTAACAGAGTATTTTGAAAGCTTTCATTATGTAATCTATTCTATGTCTAAGCAGCAGTCATTCTGCACTATATTGTCCCCTTCTGATATTGACATAAAATTATATCAGAAATACAATGTGAGGTACACCTCTTATTAGTTTTAAAGTAATCACCAGGACCTAGACACCTATAAGGCTTCTAATTCTGTGAATTAGAATGAGTCTTTGCAGTATGTGTGTGCCTTTGGAAATTAAGGGAATTTTCAAAAGCAGTTTGTGCTATGACATGAGATGCTGCTCAGAATTGGGGGTTAGTATTAAAATATATACTGGTTCTGTGCGAGATCTTGGGTGCATCTCAGATCACTCTCTGGATCCTTGCTCTTGTGATCATCTTAGCCATGATTCATATACAGTGGTACCTCGGGTTACATACGCTTCAGGTTACATACGCTTCAGGTTACAGACTCTGCTAACCCAGAAATAATACCTTGGGTTAAGAACTTTGCTTCAGGATGAGAACAGAAATCGTGGTCTGGCGGCACGGCGGCAACGGGAGGCCCCATTAGCTAAAGTGATGCTTCAGGTTAAGAACAGTTTCAGGTTAAGAACGGATCTCTGGAACGAATTAAGCACAGTGGTACCTCCGGTGGTCTATTCTTAACCTGAAGCACCACTTTAGCTAATGGGGCCTTCCGCTGCCGTTGCTCCGCGGCCGCATGATTTCTGTTCTCATCCTGAAGCAAAGTTCTTAACTCGAGGTACTATTTCTGGGTTAGTGGAGTCTGTAACCTGAAGCGTCTGTAACCTGAAGCGTATGTAACCCGAGGTACCACTGTACTTAACCCGAGGTACCACTGTATGAGTTTTATATTGAGAGAGGTGATGTCAGGAGCCAGAGTCAAACATAGGTCAGCAATAAAAAACATGGTGTCAGTGTTTCTTTGTTCAAAGAAACCAAAACAGTGCAGGCCTAGTGACCCCAGCAACTCTTCCCAGCAGGTCTTGCTCCGGTGAGGCAGTTGCGAGAATTGAAGGTCCCCACCTTCCCACTGCTCTCAAAGACACCTCCTTTCCAGGGTGTTTCCCAAGCAGTCACAAATGACACCTGCACACAACCAATCTCTGCTCTTTTCATTTCTCTGTGTGTTCTAGGAGACCAGGGCAGAGGAAAGCTGGTTGCAGCAGGAAAGGGAGACTCCCTGGATTCTTCAGCAGCCTGTCTCAACTCTGCCTCTTTGGCCAACCTCCTCTCCAGCTTCTGCTTCAGCCTTGGAGTCTGAACCGCTCTCTGCCACAGCTTCTTCCTGCTCATTAAACCCAGTTACCTCTTCTGCTTCTGAAACTTCCTCCTCCTCCGATTCTGCTCTTTCTTCTGCCTCCAGCCACCCATTGTCATCCCACCCCCACTCCCGTAGCTCTGAGCCTTCTTCCCCTGAGGGTTTCCTTTGGCTTTCCCCCAGCTGGTGCCCCCCGTTTTGCATCCAGTCAGTCCATCACAAGTGACCACAAAATTATTTGGTTAACTGAGTTTCATGTGGTGGCTTTGTTGCTCAAATGCAAATAGTGAGAGCTGATGTAGAAGAGCTGTGGTTCAGTGGCAGAGCGCATGCTTTGCATGAAACAGATATCAAGCCATTTCCCTGGCATTTCCAGATATGATTGGGAGAGACTCCCTGTCTAAAACCGCTTTGAGGTTTTGTTTTTATAATAATATAAAATATGCTTTTATATATAAGTATATAATTTTTATGAAATAAATAAATAAAACTCCCAGGAGCCAGTGCTTTCCAGTGGACAATAATGAGTTACCGGTAGATGATTTTACTCCAGTGATCTTACTCCAGCAGGGGTCAGCAAACTTTTTCAGCAGAGGGCCGGTCCACCGTCCCTCAGACCATGTGGTGGGCCGGACTATATTTTTTGGGGGGAGGGGGAATGAACGAATTCCTATGCCCCACAAATAACCCAGAGATGCATGTTAAATAAAAGGACACATTCTACTCATGTAAAAACACACTGATTTCCGGACTGCCCATGGGCCAGATTTAGAAGGCGATTGGGCCCGCTCCAGCTCCCGGGCCTTAGTTTCCCTACCCATGCTCCAGAGGATAAGGCAGCTTCCTATGTTCTTATATGGATAAAAGCAATGGAGCTGGATTAGCTCCAGGATGGCAACTAAATACTAGCAGGCAGCATATGAAAGGAATGTGGTGAAATCACCTTCTGACAACTTCAATATATCTAAAAGTAAGATATGACTAGGGCCTTAAGTGGAATGGACCAGCGTGTTTTTCTAGAATGTCACAATTTTCCAAAGTTTGCTGATTTTAAAACATTTGACCATCTAAAGTGCATATTTCAGAATTAAACAGACCACAAATAGGCCAGCATCCCCTCCCTTCCAGCAAGTGCTCTCTGAAATTGCTAAAAATATTGCAATTGTTTGATAGGTTGCAACAATTTCACATGTACTTATTCCTACTCTATAATAAATAAGGCAGTGACCCAGAATTATATCGTGGCAAACTGTTTTTACACTGTTCCTGTTGTTATAATGTGGATTTGTTTTTGTTTTAAAAAACTTGTGCTGGATTTTGATGCTACTGGTTTTTTTGATGCTATGTGCTTTTTTTTCTTTTAAAGAAAAGTTTTAATTTTTGTTTTTAAAAAATCTTCCAGTGTTTAAAATACAAAAATTGTTGTTCGCCAGCTTATGTGTGAGGGGGTAAGTAATAATGTAAATAAACAACCAGTATTGGATTGGAGTCACCCCTTCTATTGGATGAAGGGAACATTTAGATCAAACCCATGTTGTATTAATTTCATTGTAATCAGAGTGTGCTGGGGAGAAAAATAATATTCATTGCACATATATTTTTCAGATATTTGTTTGCCCCCCCTTTCTGTACAAATAATAAAATCTGAGTTATTTACAAAACTTTGGCTATGATTGTCAAGATGCAGTCAGCAATTGAGCTTCATTCATGATGATTAAGCAATTAGCACCATGTATAAATCATTGTAATGGTTCAAACTCATTACATAGATAATAGCCGGTGCCTTTGAGTGCATTTCCTTGTTTCTGTGATGTTGAAGTTTTGTACAGCAATAACCATGATGGAACCGCAGATGAGAAGCAATAGTTAGATAAGCTGTATGCAAACAAGGGAGAATAAAGTAACTTTGGACCTGATACTGTATACAGCAGTACCTTGGGTTACAGACGCCTCAGGTTACAGACGCTTCAGGTTACAGATTCCACTAACCCAGAAATAGTACCCCGGGTTAAGAACTTTGCTTCAGGATGAGAACAGAAATCACGCGGCGGCAGCGGGAGGCCCCATTAGCTAAAGTGGTGCTTTAGGTTAAGAACAGTTTCAGGTTAAGAACAGACCTCCAGAACAAATTAAGTTTTTAACCTGAGGTACCACAGTATTTTGCATTCAACACTGGATGGATGATGCAAATATTTTGCATCCTTAATAATGACAAGATCTAATTAATAGGAAGCGACTCTTAACAATCAAAAAGGAACCTACATATTCCCTGTGTTGGCACCTCTTCCATCTTCAGAAAAGAGAAGATTGTTTTTATTGTAAGCTGAAACATTGTTTTATTTATTCTGGGGATGAGTACAAACTGAAAATCCTTGTCCATCAGGTTTTGTGCTTTTGTATGTAAAATCAAACAATGAGAGAGGCTGAAGTTCAGGCTTCAAGTTTCCAGAGCCACTTTAGTCAGATGGCTATAAATCTGGCAGTAAGGATATTTCAGGCTTCTAGGATCTGCTTCGCTTTTGCTAGAACTCCAACAACCATCAAGCAGAGCCTGGTGCAAATGACATAATCTTCGAAGTTAAGGATTCTGAGGCCAGAAATTTCTTTTGAGCTCACAATTCTTCCAAACTAGCACTCCCCCTACTCACAGTTCTGGTCCCCCCTATCCCTGCTTCCTTCAACTGGATTTCAAAAAATTCTTTCTAATCTACTTAATAATACTAAGATCTACTGCTAAATTCTACCTTCTGCCCAGTCCTGCTGTAAATGGCTATTTTTTTTATTTTGAATCCACCCATTGTAATGCATAACCCTGAAGAATAGCTCCACCACTTCTAGTGTAGGGGAACAAAGTTGGATTATTTCACATTTAAATATGAATTTACCTAATTCACACTTCAAGATGTGACTTGAAATACAACCATCCTTCACACTGTCCCAAATTTTGCAGTGCAGTTCTCCAGCCATGGAATATGTACAAAAATACACATACTATTGTAAACTATGCATTTAAATGCATATATTAGAGAAAATAACCTATAAAATGCATTATAGGAGGGGAAATTTAGCTTTTCAAATTTACATACTTTAGGCAAAATTGCATAAACGTGTGTATATTAAGAGAAATATGTACTACAATGCTGGTTAATTTTCATGACATTTTCATGTATTTTCAAGAATCATAGAATCATAGAATTCTAGAGTTGGAAGGGACCCTGAGGGTCATCTAGTCCAACCCCCTGCAATTCAGGAATCTCAAGTGAAGCATCCATGGCAGATTGCCACCCAACATCTACTTAAGGAGGACCCATCAACTTCAGAGCGAGTCCTTCCCATGAATTTTCTTTCAAAAATAACAACAACCACAAACCAATGTGGAATATGGAGAACTAACCTTCAGACTGGAAAAAGAAGAAACTGAAATGGACATATTTACACATCTCTAACCATTTCATTCTTCAACCTGGATAATATTTAGTATCATCTGGAATTGCCTTTAGTTTTGTTGCTGCTGCTCCTTACTGTTCCTTTTGGAAACCCTGAAATTTCAGCAATTTGTGTTGTGCTCCCCTCCCCTGCTCACTCTCTGTGTCACCACAAATAGCTTTCCCTGTTCTTAATTTTGCATTCCTGTGCACCATTGCATACACACATATTAAGGGAGTGTATGCAATACCAGTGTGTATTGCCATAGTTGAAACACTTCAGACACACCCTCTGGATGTTTCCTTACTTGCCTTCTTGAGAAAAGAGAAAGGAGAAGTTCCGTAATGCAGTCATGGAAGGGTACACTCTGAACTGCGTGTTATTTATCTAAACTGGGTCAGAGCCTTACCAAATGAGCAAACATGGGAAATATCATTTTATTATGATCCTTACCAGAACTTGGAAAAGTTATGCTTCGCCTGGCCACCTCCACCTGCCCATCTCAGTGCAAAGGAATTGATGCTTGTAGGAGAAAGGGGAAATACTGCTTGTGTTTAACTTCTTTTTAAATCGAGGAAAGAGCATTTGGACTCTCAATTAATTTGCTAAACCAAATAATCAAACTGTTAAAAATGTGCAGAAAGTCATGAGAAGTCCTTATTTATGGTGCCACTGTCCAATATTTGCCCATGACAGTTGTATCATAGAATCACAGCACTGAAGAGTTGGAAGGGACCACAAGGGCCACAAGCCTGAGATTAAGAGTTTCACGCTTTACTGACTGAGCTATATAATCACATTCCACATAGCATTTGGTATTGTAATTGACCCCTAGGCTGTGCACCTGGTCCTTTAGGAGCAAAGTTACCCCATTCAGGACCAGGGAGTCCCCCACATTTGCCTGCCCCCTGTCTCCTAGAAAAAGTACTTCTGTCTTGTCAGAATTCAGTTTCAATCCATTAACCTCCAACCTCTCCCAGATACAGGACATTCATTGCCCTTACTGGTTCTGGTTTAAACAAGAGGTAGAGCTGAGTATCATTTGTATACTGATGAAGTATATTTACTAGTGCACTTGTGTGCCTCAATAAATGTAATCATCAGTGCACTCTTTGAACATTAAAATTGTGCAGCCTCCAAAACACATACGCTTCCAAAACATAGTGTGTGTCATAAACAATGATTGAACACTGGTTCTCAATTAGCTACATATGGCGGACCCCCCGTTTTTCAAATGCCAAGTCACAGACTCCCTATTTTTGAATTTTTTTATATCTCTGTGGTAGTTTTTGTTACATGAATGGTGTCATGGACCCCCTGGGTAGGTTTTGTGGACCGCAGGGGGTCCACAGACCATCAATTGGGAATCACTGGCATGGTACATTTGTGGGATGGTATTCCTTTAAGCAGTTTCAACAGGTGGATGGATGTACAGGGCTGGAGTTAAGAGGAGGTCTTATGACACTTTCACTTTTGTCAAATCCAGTTTTGTGCCAGCTGTACTTAGGAAGCCCAGGGACAAACAGCCATAAAGAGTGAAGTGACTCAAGGGTCAGATTTTTGACACAGTAGGAGGATAGAACAGAAGGGAAAAGGCGCTTTTTGCACCAGTGGTCTGCTCTGCACAACTAATCCAGAATGTGAGTAATGCTTCTTTACTATTCTCTAGCAGTGTGAAATTATATTGCTGCATTTGTAACAACAGAACAACACCAATGAATTTCAAAAATGAAAATGTTTGATTTCCAGGCTCTGAGACATCAGCCTTCATATTTAGAGGGTCAATCTGTAGAGGTACCAAGGAAATTTAGGACTGCTCCAGAGATGCTTACCACAGTTACTTTGAACATTTTGTTCAGGAGTCATTCCAAATCATACAATTTATCAATTTATGTGGAGGCTATTTTAATCACTAGGCTGCAGACACATTTTATATAAACTCTTTGATGAGTCTTAACCATGTTTACCTGAGGTAAGTCCCCTTGATAGCCTGCTTGTGAATTCAGGCTAGCTGTATATTTTTAAATGGGTACTAAAGAATGGAGGCCTTGTTTAGTATATAGAGATATTTATGGAAACCATATGGATAATTTTTTTGTTAATTATTTTGGCACTGTGTGTGTGAAGGGGTGAAAACACCACTCAGAAGCTGCCACTGAGTGACACTTGAAGGGGGCTCTGCTGTTGCCCCAAAGTCTACCGCTTAGAACATCAGTTGGTGATTGTGGCAGGAAGGGAGCATGAGGCTGCATTATGCAGGCATTGTTCCTAAGGAGTAGCTGGTAGATATACCAGGATGAGGCACAAAAGTACCTGCACATCAAACCAATCAGGTTTGTGCTGCTCGTAGGAGCTGCCCACTTACACAAAGTCCCTATGTACAATCTCACCCAACACAAGGCTGATGTGATGGACTGTCTTGGGGTGAAAGCCCAGCTGAGCACTACAGTGCCTTTGGAATCCATCCTTCCTTCCCCTGCTCAGCAGGAACCTCCAAATTCACCTCAAATTCTGCCATGGATGGAGTTAAACGTCAGTCTAAGGAAGTGCGAAATTCGCCTGAGGACTTGCACTAGTCATCAACATTATTTTTGCTACCCTTGAAATTTCTGAGATACTTTGCCTATTCAGGAATCTTCAAATTCACCTCAAAATGTTGCTCAAATTGAAACTCAGTAACAACTCTGGGTGAGATAAGCAACCAAAGGAGCATCTGGTTCTCCTCTTTGTTGTGAAGCAAGATCATCTCCATCTATCTAATTTGAATGATAATGGTCACAAGCAGAACATAAAGTGTGTTGCAGAAAGGTGCTTGGCTGAAGGTGCACCATTCATTAAGTCAAGTCAAAACATAGATCAGGGCCACAGTCATAGAATCATAGAATCCAACCCCCTGCAATACAGGAATATTTTGCCCTACTTGGGGCTTGAACCTATGACCCTGGGATTAAGTGCCTCATGCTTTACTGACAGCCAATGTAACTTGGAGGGGGGGGGGAATAAGCTGGACCCAAAACAAGTGAATCACTTAATCCCTTAGCATAAGGTAAACCTACCCACCAAGTCATCATAAAGGAGTTTTTGTTAGACACAATTTCCCCAACATGCTGTAGTAATGTATGGCAGAACTGATGTCCTGACAGAAGAAGGGGGAAACTTTCCTATCACTGGATTGCAATTGAGGTCCACAAATTTCATTCAGAGAGCTGCTCTGACAAGTTGAGTTTTAGTGCTTTGGGGACAATATCTGGAAGGTATAGTGTATTACTAACTTTGCTAACCTTTAAATAGACTAGGTCTGCTGCAGTTCTTTTTGCCCCCAAACCAGATATTTGTTTATTTAAAAAGTGGGATATCAAATTAATCTGCCTCCAGATTTACCGTACTTTTACAGAAGTTTGGAATGAAGGGTTGGCAGGTCCTTGTGGAAGGCAGGGTGTTACACCTCAGAGCAAGGAGAGAAGATATGTTTTCCTGTGGAACCATTCCTAGTTTTCTCCTCTCTTCTAAAATTTGAACTACTTCCTTTTACATCTTAGGGTGTGACAGAAGGCAATCAGTGTTTTAATGTTTGTGCACCAGGTTTTTAAAAATGTAAGTTGAGTGGTTAGTGTGCATAATAACCAGCCATTGTGCACATTCACCAGGCCGCAACTGCATACATTCACCGCCCAGCTTAAATCGTACCTAACATATACCGGTATATCAAATTAGATACAAATAAATGAGACTATTATAAAGGAGCGTTCATAAGGTCTGTCCCGCTTTATAAACCATATTTCATTTTTCATTAATGTTTCTTTTTAAGGCCTAAGAAAGGTCTTAAGATAGAAGCGAAGTTAAGATGCAGGTGTGCAGTTCTCTGAATCATCTTTATTCCTTTTCTTGTGAAATTAACTTCACTTCTAGCTTAAGAACTTTCAAGCAAACTTCCCATTCTTCTAGATTAGTTCTTAAATCAGATAACTTGCCCATAAGAAGGTCATTGCAGCTGTATTATTAACTCAAGAACAAAGCCCACTGTATGATGGTCACTGTATTATTTTTTCCATAACTCTTAAGCAATTCTATGCTCACTTTTGACTCCTATCATGATTCAGAAACAAAAACCACGACTGCATGCAAGTGATGAGCAGAGGGCACCTTATGATTATTCTAAAAAGTGATAATGAGTCTGGCTTGCGACTTGAGATTTTTAGTTCATTTTTGCAAAGCTTTATGACATTTGCATTCAATAAATGCAATATACTTCCTGAATGGAGATAGCTCAGTTGGTAGAGCATGAGACTCTTAATCTCAAGATCATGGGATTCATTCCATGCCAACCTCCCCACCTCCTCAACCCTCCCTATCTGCCTCCTGGTAAGTAGGAGTGATGAAAGCAAATGGAGCGGCAGCATTTACCTTAGCCCTTTTCAGACCTTTAATCTGTGTTTATTGGCACACATGAGGAGGGGCAGAATATGAGCAGCAGATCCTGCCCCAGGCATTTTTATTTGAAAGCTATTTTATTGGAAATTGTAGGTTCAGATCTGCATGGCAAGAAGGCCCTATGAGTTGTATGTATATAAATTCTATGCAGACATAACTGTTGAATGTGTAGAGTTCAGCAGTGAGGACAGCATACAGAAATCCCATTTCTCCCCTCCTAGAGGTACAATCCCTGAAACGAGGTATTGACTGTCAAACCACTCTGTCAAGTATAGCTCTGGGAGGGGAATAGGGGTCTTCTAACAGCACTCAGCACACTTAAGAAGCTTCAGCTCCCAGAATTCTTTTGTGGAAGCCGTGACTGTTTTAAAGTGGTATATTGTGGTACTGCACATTGCCTAACATTAGTTTTCCAGTCTCAAGCCTGGCTGTGGGCCACTTCATTCTCCACAATGCTCAAATTCTGAAGAAAAAGAAGGGAGGGTTAGGGAAATGGCAAGTTTCTCATCCCAGCTCCACCCTCCAATTTTAACTTTCTAACAACAGTAACTGAGGGGGAGGGGACGGAGGGAGGGAGAAAGAGGTGCTAATACAGAATAGTGCACCCAGCAAACCAGCATTTGAACAGTTAGTCTCTTACCAGCACGTGTGCATATAAAAAAGGCTCACAATGGTAAGGGCCCACTTGATTTCTTTTAAACACTTCGCATGCATCAGAATTTTGCAGAATAACCATTTCATAATATGATTAAAGCTACTGTTAGCAAATGAAGATTTAACAGTTATGTGCTAGTTATATATATATATACAGGGAAGCACATTCAGGTGTACATGTAATTGGCATTTGGTTATATGTTAACAATACATTTCACACTACTTCAACTTGACACTATTAATCTTATACAGAGGTAGATAATAGTGCCGATAAGAGGTAGAAAACTGGGTGACTTTGCAGAAGTACTGAAACTGGAAATGTGTGCTTGTGGATAACATGTGAAGAACATGTGAACAGGAAGTTATGCATTCCCCAAGCATGCAGAGGAGATGCGTGAGTTTCCCTTTCACAAGGGAGAAGTGTGGAGAGTTTAAGCATATTCAGTAATGCTTGCTGCTTGCATAATTCACAAAGCTTCCCATAAACTTAGAAGTGTAATTTTGATTCCAGGTCAGCTTGTACAGTGTACCTAAACAACTTTGAAAAGGATTGTTAGCTGTACTGCTTCACTCCTATGAAATTCAGGTTTTGCCTGTATTTTCCCTTGATCAAACACATTATCAGAATAACTCATCTGGGGTAGAATGGATATCCTTAACAGCCAGGACAATTTTGACAGAGATCAAATGAACTGTAGTTTCATAAGGGATGGTACATGGATTTTAAATCGTAGGAACAAATTGGGTTTGTGCTTGATGAACTCTTGAGATATTTAGTTTGATTGTAAGATTGGCAACAGAACCACAATTAATTGATTAATTAATCTTCAAATTTGTGGAGTACCTTATTTACCGTATTTGTTGTTGTTGTTGTTTAGTCGTTTAGTCGTGTCCGACTCTTCGTGACCCCATGGACCAGAGCACGCCAGGCACTCCTGTCTTCTACTGCCTCCCGCAGTTTGGTCAGACTCATGTTTGTAGCTTTGAGAACACTGTCCAACCATCTCGTCCTCTGTCGTCCCCTTCTCCTTGTGCCCTCCATCTTTCCCAACATCAGGGTCTTTTCCAGGGAGTCTTCTCTTCTCATGAGGTGGCCAAAGTATTGGAGCCTCAGCTTCAGGATCTGTCCTTCAAGTGAGCACTCAGGGCTAATTTCCTTAAGAATGGATGCGTTTGATCTTCTTGCAGTCCATGGGACTCTCAAGAGTCTCCTCCAGCACCATAATTCAAAAGCATAAATTCTTTGGCGATCAGCCTTCTTTATGGTCCAGCTCTCACTTCCATACATCACTACTGGGAAAACCATGGCTTTAACTATACGGACCTTTGTTGGCAAGGTGATGTCTCTGCTTTTTAAAATGCTGTCTAGGTTTGCCATCACCTTTCTCCCAAGGAGCAGGTGTCTTTTAATTTCGTGACTGCTGTCACCATCTGCAGTGATCAGGGAGCCCAAGAAAGTAAAATCTCTCACTGCCTCCATTTCTTCCCCTTCTATTTGCCAGGAGGTGATGGGACCAGTGGCCATGATCTTCGTTTTTTTGATGTTGAGCTTCAGACCATATTTTGCGCTCTCCTCTTTCACCCTCAGTAAAAGGTTCTTTAATTCTTCCTCACTTTCTGCCATCAAGGTTGTGTCATCTGCACATCTGAGGTTGTTGATATTTCTTCCGGTGATCTTAATTCCGGCTTGGGATTCATCCAGCCCAGCCTTTCGCCTGATGAATTCTGCATATAAGTTGAATAGGCAGGGAGACAATATACAGCCTTGCTGTACTCCTTTCCCAATTTTGAACCAATCAGTTGTTCCATATCCAGTTCTAACTGTAGCTTCTTGTCCCACATAGAGATTTCTCAGGAGACAGATGAGGTGATCAGGCACTCCCATTTCTTTAAGAACTTGCCATAGTTTGCTGTGGTCAACACAGTCAAAGGCTTTTGTATAGTCAATGAAGCAGAAGTAGATGTCTTTCTGGAACTCTCTAGCTTTCTCCATAATCCAGCGCAGGTTTGCAATTTGGTCTCTGGTTCCTCTGCCCCTTCGAAATCCAGCTTGCACTTCTGGGAGTTCTCGGTCCACATACTGCTTAAGCCTGCCTTGTAGAATTTTAAGCATAACCTTGCTAGCGTATGAAATGAGTGCAATTGTGCGGTAGTTGGAGCATTCTTTGGCACTGCCCTTCTTTGGGATTGGGATGTAGACTGATCTTCTCCAATCCTCTGGCCACTGCTGAGTTTTCCAAATTTGCTGGCATATTGAGTGTAGCATCTTAACAGCATCATCGTTTAAAATTTTTAATAGTTCAGCTGGAATATCATCACTTCCACTGGCCTTGTTATTAGCAATGCTTTCTAAGGCCCATTTGACTTCACTCTCCAGGATGTCTGGCTCAAGGTCAGCAACCACACTACCTGGGGTGTACGAGACATCCATATCTTTCTGGTATAATTCCTCTGTGTATTCTTGCCACCTCTTCTTGATGTCTTCTGCTTCTGTTAGGTCCTTTCCACTTTTGTCTTTTATTATGGTAATCTTTGTACGAAATATTCCTTTCATATCTCCAATTTTCTTGAACAGATCTCTGGTTTTTCCCATTCTATTGTTTTCTTCTATTTCTTTGCGTTGCTCGTTTAAGAAGGCCTTCTTGTCTCTTCTTGCTATTTTTTGGAAATCTGCATTCAATTTCCTGTATCTTTCACTATCTCCCTCGCATTTTGCTTGCCTTCTCTCCCCCGCTATTTGTAAGGCCTCGTTGGACAGCCATTTTGCTTTCTTGCATTTCCTTTTCATTGGGATGGTTTTAGTTGCTGCCTCCTGTATAATGTTACGAGCCTCCATCCATAGTTCTTCAGGCACTCTGTCCACCAAATCTAAATCCTTAAACCTGTTCCTCACTTCCACTGTGTATTCATAAGGGATTTGACTTAGATTGTATCTTACAGGCCCAGTGGTTTTTCCTACTTTCTTCAGTTTAAGCTTGAATTTTGCTATAAGAAGCTGATGATCTGAGCCACAGTCAGCTCCAGGTCTTGTTTTTGCTGACTGTATAGAGCTTCTCCATCTTTGGCTGCAGAGAATATAGTCAATCTGATTTCGATGCTGCCCATCTGGTGATGTCCATGTGTAGAGTCGTCTCTTGTGTTGTTGGAAAAGAGTGTTTGTGATGACCAGCTTGTTCTCTTGGCAGAACTCTATTAGCCTTTGCCCTGCTTCGTTTTGAACTCCAAGGCCAAACTTGCCAGTTGTTCCTTTTATCTCTTGACTCCCTACTTTAGCATTCCAATCCCCTGTAATGAGAAGAACATCCTTCTTTGGTGTCATTTCTATAAGGTGTTGTAAGTCTTCATAGAATTGGTCAATTTCAGTTTCTTCAGCACCAGTGGTTGGTGCATAAACTTGGATTACTGTGATGTTAAGAGGTCTGCCTTGGATTCGTATCGAGATCATTCTATCATTTTTGAGATTGCATCCCAGTACAGCTTTCGCCACTCTTTTGTTGACTATGAGGGCCATTCCATTTCTTTTACTGGATTCTTGCCCACAGTAGTAGATATGATGGTCATCCGAACTGAATTCGCCCATTCCTGTCCATTTTAGTTCACTGATGCCCAGAATGTCAATATTTATTCTTGCCATCTCATTTTTGACCACATCCAACTTACCAAGGTTCATGGTTCTTACATTCCAGGTTCCTATGCAATATTTTTCTTTACAGCATTGGACTTTCCTTTCGCTTCCAGGCATATCCGCAACTGAGCGTCCTTTCGGCTTTGGCCCAGCCGCTTCATCAGCTCTGAATCTACTTGTACTTGTCCTCCGCTCTTCCCCAGTAGCATGTTGGGCGCCTTCCGACCTGAGGGACTCATCTTCCAGCGTCATAACTTTTATATGCCTGTTGCCTTTGTCCATGGAGTTTTCTTGGCAGGGATACTGGAGTGGCTTGCCGGTTCCTGCTCCAGGTGGATCACGTTTGGTCAAAACTTTCCACTATGACCTGTCCATCTTGGGTGGCCCTGCACGGCATAGCTCATAGCTTCTCTGAGTTATTGAAGCCCCTTCGCCACGGCAAGGCAGTGATCCATGAAGGGGGATCACATTACTGCATTTACTCAATTCTAATGCTCACCTTTTTTGGCCAAATTACGTGGTGAAAATTAAGGTGCACATTAGATTCAATGGCACATTTCACCAGCAAATACTTTTTTTTGTTTCAAGGTTCTGAAAATTGATGTGTGCATGAGATTCAATGGTGCATGAGATTCGAGTAAATACTGTAGTTGTTTCATTTTCTTAAGAAAATGTGTTTTAAAAAATCTGATTCTGTTTTTAGAAGGCTTTATGATCAGCCCAGATTCTCAGGGTCACGACTGTAAATGAGAAGTACTTTGTAACTTTCTACTTTATTAGTCTGTGATACTTTCAGTAATGAATTAGCAATGGCCTTTGGTCCACCTTTGTTCTAAAGCGTATCTTACAGGGGTTTAATTTTGCAACAGCCAAGCCTTTTGAAATCATCCATTTTCACAGTCAGTTTCAATAACAGAAATCAGGGCCATCTTCCAAGCAATTCCCCATTGTGAGGTCATATTGTTCAGAGTGAAGGTGGTTGCCCAGTCAAAACAATTATTTTCTCCTATGCTTTTGTGAATTGTGGTTTGAGGGTGTCTCTTGCTAGTTCACTGCTTCTTTTTATAGTCAAGACTTTTTGTGCTTTTTGTGACTTTGTATTTTTTTTTTAATTTCTATACAGCTTTATATTTTTAATAAAAATCTCAAAGTGGTTTACAGCATATTAAATCAATAAATCAATAAAATAATAGCCGGATGATGTTTGTATTTCATTTTCCCCTAAACTGCCTGGAGAATATTAACTAATTGTGTGCCGGGAAATAAGAGATTATAGAAACTGCTTAGCTCCGACTGTGAATGGTTAGGGTATAGTGAAGGCAGTGATTAAGAACTGCCATGGAAAGGCTGATGGAAGCCCTTCCATGTGGTGGCCGCAATGGGTGAATCACCATATAATACAGGTCTGGGTTTAGTGCTGGATTTTGATCTTTGCAGCTGGGTTTCCAATAATCAACAAGCTGTTATAGTTCTGTTACCAGGTTGATGATGATTGTTATGATTATTATTATTTTGCAACCCACAGTGGAAAAGATAGGAAATAGCCATAAGGTGGTTGTGGTAAAGAATGTTACCTTATCTCTTTCCTGGCTTCTAGTACAAACATATATATTGTTACAAATTGGGTGTTTCCCCCTTTCCCCACCGAGCAGTGGCAAGAGCCTATGGGGTTCCTGGGACTCACCCAGGGTTTGGAGAATTGAGACACCATGGAGACTGTCATAGCTTTGAGAAATACGGTTTATTCACCTATTTACACCTTCAGTCTGCATGGAGGGAGTCCAGATCTTACAGTATGGTCCTTTCAAGAGGGGCTTGTCCAAGGCATCTCTCCCAGCCAGCTCTGCAGTCAGCCTGCTAAAGATGGATCCTTCTTCCTCCTTCCTCCTCCCAGCAACCCTTGCTCAAAACTTCTCTTTTCCTGTCACCTCAAACATTCCATACGCTGTCTGTTTGCACCTCAGGGAATGGGGGAAGGATAGTTCTCTTGCATGCCAATGACCCTCTATTGTTCCTTAATGGCCCTCGCTTAGCCAGGTTGCTTTGCACAGGATAGCCCAGGAATTCCTCTGCAGCTTATATTTCTCCCTTCACATCCCAAATAATCAAAATCCTAGCATTTAATAATTTCTAGGTTTTAAGGGATCCCTTCGTCTATAACAATATACATACATACATATCTGAAGGAGCATCACCAACCCCATCGGTCAGCCCTGAGGTCCTCTTCTGAGGGTCTTCTGGTGGTTCCCTCACTGCGAGAAGCTAAGTTACAGGGAACCAGGCAGAGGGCCTTCTTGGTAGTGGCGGCCTCCCTGTGGAACATCCTTCTTTCAGATATCAAGGAAATAAACAACTATCTGACTTTTAAAAGACATCTGAAGGCAGCCCTGTATCAATAAGTATTTAATGTTTGATGTTTTAGTCTGTTTCAATGTGAGCTGCCCAGAGTGGCTGGGGAAACCCAGCCAGATGGGCAGGGTATGTATGTATGTATGTATGTATAAATAATATATATAGAGAGAGACATATATACACATGACAGATCAGAAGTGTGAATACGACTGCAACCTTTGTCACCACAGCAAACATGGAGATTGCATTCCCTAGATGTGGCTTTAGCAGAGCTACATACCAGGAGAAGGACAGTTTACATAGAGTCTTAGAATCAAACGTAAGTCTGAGAATCTAATCCAGGAGCCTCACTAGGTCTTTAAACAATTTAGGACACACGCCCATAAGTGATTTTCTCAAAACATTGCATATGTGAATGTAAATTATGAGAGGCAAATTTTGGCTGACTTTCAAGGTGCAAATTATAAAAGTTACACACCCACCTACACACCAATGTTCCCGAGACTGTGGCTTGGGTGTGTTCCTGGATTCTTGGGAATTTTAGGTAGAAGCAGCAGTCAGGAATGCATTCTACCAGCCATGGCCCTATCTAGAGCAATCAGACCTTACCACAGTTATCCAAGCATTAGTGAATCTCAGACTCAGCTATACAGCTGGAAATAAAACATTTTGAATGTGTTGTAAAGTGCAATACAGTGGTACCTCGGGTTAAGTACTTAATTCGTTCCAGAGGTCCGTTCTTAACCTGAAACTGTTCTTAACCTGAAAACAACTTTAGCTAATGGGGCCTCCTGCTGCTGCCGTGCCGCCGGAGCACGATTTCTGTTCTCATCCTGAAGCAAAATTCTTAACCAGGTTATCTTAGGGACTGGTTGCCCCTGTATCAACTGGTCCCTGCCTTAAGATGTACTTCACAGACCCTGTTGAGATCATAGAATCGTAGACTTGGAAGGGGATCTGAGGACCGTCTGATCCAACTCCCTGCAATGCAGGAATATGCAGCTGTCCTGTATGGGGATCAAACCTGCAACTTTGGTGTTATCAGCACCATGTTCTAACCAACTGAGCTATCCACCTGCAAATACAATCATATTAGCTGTTTAAATGATGAGAAAGGGATGGTTTTTTAAAAAAATATTTGAACTAATCTTTTAAACTTCGATGATATTTTACTGAACTTACATTGCATCCGTTTCATCCCTTTTGCACAAGCTGCCTGAAGAGGGCTTTTCTCTACAAGGCAGCACAGAAACCTTTTCAATAAAACAAACATACTACCAGGAAGTGGCAGTCAGCTGTTTCGATTACAAAGTTCCTGGCAAGGGGAAGGGGGGTGGGAATCAACTTCAATCTTGCCCAAGGCAAACAAAGCATAAAAGGACATATTGTGACTGATCATAACCACTCTTATGGGCATTAAACAAGAATTTTCTAGAATGTTTGTCCCAGGAGAGATGCTATTTCTTTGACCCACATGCTAGATTTCCACAGCAAATGAGGAGGGCAAGACTAGACTCTATTCTTCATATATAGTTGGGACTGATAAGATCAGGGGTCGCCTGGGCCGGTTCACTCCTGCGGAGATTGCTCCGTGGGCCGGATCGCGTCTTCACAGATATGATTTCCGGCATCTGTGCAGACGCGATTTCCGGCGCCGATTTAGTGCAGCATGTGGGGACTCACCAAGCAGGCAGATCAGTTTGGGGGTGGCTCATGGGCCATCGGTGGGCCGCTTGTGCCGACCCCTGGATAAGATGATGCTATCTTTTATAATAAAGCACACATTGTGATGTGGGATTACTCTAAGACAGAGCTTTCCAAACTGTGTGTGTCATGGCATGTTAGTGTGTCAGCTGCAGTGCGTAGGTGTGTTGTGCAAACACTCCCTGCACTCCTCCCGGGGCTGGAAAGGGGTTACTTTAAGCTCCAGTTTGCTAATCAAACTGAATTACTGTGTCGCGAAATGGTGCATATCTAAAAAGTGTGTCACCAACATTAAAAGTCTGGAAAGCTCTGTTCTAAGATCTCCAGCGAATCATAGTTCACAGCACCTTCACAGAAATAGATAGATAGATTATATAGTATATAATACAAAATTTTATTTAAAATTAATAATTGTTGATACGTTTACTATGACTTAGACTCCACCTTTGAAGGAAATGAGTCACTAATGAAGTGACAGTAATAAGTGTTTTAAAAATACTCTAAACCACTATGCAGTCAATCTGTGAGAGAAGAGAAATGCAAATATAGCTGTCTGTCTGTTCAGGATAAAGCTTGTACCACAACTTCCCGCTTCCTGATATGCACCAGTGATTTAAATCTGCTAGTCAAATTTTGTTTGTACTGGCAGCCTCATTTTTTCCTGCTGCCAGAAATGATGATGGATCTTGTGTTACTTTGATTTATATTTTTCTTTTGATGTTTGAAGTCCTGTCACAATACACCATTCTTTGCAATCCCAAATTCTAGAAATTTAAAGCAGAATTACAAAATGCACCATATTCTGCTATTTTTATTCCTACATGCAGTGCTTTTTCTTTCTGGGGGTACGCATACCCCTAAACATTTTGTGAATCTACGTTTGGCCTCATTTGAGGCGCAGTATTTCCATATGAGTAGGAAAATGAGAGTACCCCTAAACTTTTTTTATTAAGAAAAAAAGCACTGCCTACATGTGTGTGATAATGACTCAACACATTTATGTTGATTTTTCTTATATATTTCTTATTCCCTTGCAGAAACAAATGTTTGTTGAGATAAGTAATAAAATGTTTGGTATGAGATACGCCAAAATTTAAATCAATGGAAGTTTACTTTTACTGATAGGTCTTAAAATTTAGGATAACAATGATAAATCTCTGAGAATTCTCGCATTTACTGGTAAACCTCAAGGCCAAGCAAATGACTTTTACTAAATTTCATTGCCTTTTCAGTTTACCATGGTATGCTGGACAGTGTTCTGCATAAGCATTGTGACACAAACATTTTTGTACATTAAAGAAAATGACTTCATTTCCCTTCAGTAAATAACCCAATTTTATTCACATTCCAGTGATTTAGACTGTGTTTTGCTTGTCCCTCTATACTGATTGTCTAGGCTAGTGTGACAGTGCAGATAATTCTGAACAGTACAGCTACTCAGAGAACCAATTCAATTTTTGTGAGGAAAAGGAACATTGTTGGTTTGATCAGGACTAAAACCTGACATAACCTCTAGGTTGGGGCCAGCATCAGGGGTTGGCAATGTCTGCCTACATTAGGGCCCTCACTGCTGATTCTCAGAGCTCCCTGGTCTTGCTCTTCCTTTTCCTCTTTTGTTGTCTGTCCTCTCGCTTGTCCTCTCCAACCATGCAGACAGCAAGAAGATTAAGAAGAATGAGCAACAGTCTCCACTTGCCTCTGCTTCTGGTGCTGAATGGGAGGATGAGCAAAAGGGCAGTGGTGACAAGGAGGCAGGCCCACTCAGATATGAGGTGCCATTGAAGCATCTTGCACAAGCCCACACATGCCCCAATCTGGAGCCAACACTGATGATGGAAATTGGAAACCAAGGGAATGGTAGGTGCGGGAGGATAAGGCTTGAGGACAAGGGCAGAGGGGAGAGGACCTTGAGGCAAGATGGACTAATGAGAATGGTGTATCTGAAGAAATCCCTCTGTAGCAATGAGGGCCAAGAAGTAATTGGATATAGCATCATAGAATCATAAAATTGTAGAGTTGGAAGTGCCCCTTAGTCCAATTCCCTGCAATGTGGGAATCTCAATCCATTGAGGGACAATGAGGGAATCCCCAATCCAATTAGAAACCATACCAGACCCTGCTTACCTTTGCATATTATGCAGGAGCTGGAGAATGATATGTTCACGTAAGAGGGCTTTTGTGAGAAAACCTATTTAATCAACTGAGAAAATATTTCAAGCTTCCAGAGAACGTGAGGACCTTGATTTAAAATATTCTAAAGCCAAGGCCATCTTGTTGGTTTTATACCAGCCTCTAGCTGGGAAGTGTTATAGAAAACGGAGGCTCAGAATCTGAAAGGGCATTTTTTTCATTGTCCAGGAGTTAATAAATAGCCTAAGACAAGTAGCCATTGAGCCATTGAGCAACACCACAGCAAGAGGAAGAAAGAACAACAAGGCATCTTTTATGCAAAGGAGGAAATAAAATATTTTCACTGCTGGGAATTACCCCTTATAACAAAGTCCATCACCTGATGCCCAGAGAATACATTCTTCAGGCTATTTGCACACTGCTTACTTGGCATTCGCTATAGTCTCTGCCTGCATGAATACTGCAAAACACCCCTTCCTGGCTGGTAAGATGACTTGGCTGCCATGACTACACGCTCGCCCCTGCACAATGGCACTCACACAAACACAACCTATGCCTCTTCCCATGCGAATGTTTTCAAGCCTTGAGGAAATACAGTAGATCAGAGCGAAGCTTCAGGCTGCCTCAGGCCATGCCTCAAATTCAGTGTGAAACACTTGCAGTGAAATCCTGTACATGTCTGCTCAGAGGGAAAGGAGGGGCAGGCAGAAATTAGTGGGTTTTCTTGGTTTGTTAAAAGCCTTATGGAGGGAGGAAGAGGAAAAAGCAAGGATTTTGGATGTACATTCTACGATGGGAGACTTTGCAGGAGGGTTAGTACCTTACAAGAACTAACTTACTTGCAAACTGAACATGAAGTTGAACTGGAATTGGGGTCAAGACTTGGAATGAAGTGATGTGTTCAGGTACAGGTTCCAAGAAAAACAGCTGATACCCATACCCTTAGCCTTCTGAGCCTTTGGTGTTGCCACTGATCTTGCTCCTGAATGCATATATTGTGCAGCAGTAGTAGAGCTGTGTGAACCCCCCACCCCCCCACCCAAGGCCATTATATATAATGCCAGGTAAGTCTTATTTTCGAAGGTACCAAGGACTCGCATGGGCCCCAGTAGCTATGGAGGAATTATAGAGGTGGGAGGGATCTTGCAGAACAGCTAGTCCAAACCACTGCTTGATGCAGAACATTCAGAGCTACATGAAGACTGCAGTCAGCAGTGGTGCATACTCTCCTGAAGGCAGTGTTGCATTTGCCAGGATGGGGAGGGGTGCAGGTTGGGGGAACTCTTGAGTTGGTGGCGGCTTTCTGCCTGTGGAAAGCTGCTGCCATCAACCCAGAACTTTCCCGACTTTGTGGCCACCTCACCCTATCCTTATCTCAGAGAGCAGCAACACCGCCACTGCTGAAAGGGTGCCATTCAGCACCCTAAAATGCTGGTGATGATCCCATGAATGGCTGTCCATTCTGTGCTTAATAAACTCTAGCGAGGAATAGCCAGCCAGCTCTGTAGGTAATAGATTCCATTGTCAAACACCTCTTACCATCAATAAGATTCTCCTCATGTTCAACCAAAATCTACCTCCCTCTAACTGAAGATCATTAGCTCTCATCTTGCCCCTGGGGCAAAGGAGAAAATTCAAGGCAAACACTGCCCTCTAACCTTTGTGTTTCTGACTAAAGGAGAAGAGGTGTAAAGGTCGGATCAGCTGTAAACTTAGAATGTAAACTCTCAGGATTTTAAGGAGTGGTTTTTGGCAGCTCTTGAGTTGCCTAACATGTAGCCTTCTTTCTTCTTAAGTCAGCACGTAACAGGGCAGCAAGGAGAGTGCCAGAAACACTATTTAGGGAAGCGAGAGGTAGGTGGCAAAGACCAGTCTTTGGGAGAGTACTGTGTTTGTGAATGTATGTATCACCCTATTAAAATTGGATGTGGGTGGAAGAAATCGTCACCCTTTTGGTCTGATCCCTGAAAGGTAGAAGGAAGAGACAGCAAATGCCTACTGGAGGGATTGTTCCCGAATTGGGGTCTAATTTGGCATTGATTCAGATTTCTAGCAATCAAAAGTTGGAACCCTTTGAAAAAGGGAACTGGGTCCCACGTTTTGGTTCAGTCCGTTGCCAAACTTTATCGTATCTACTTGATTAACCAGTTTCTATTTAGACTGCCTTGGCTGCGTGTCCCTATGATGTTCAGCCCTTTTTATTTCTGAATAAATATTTGCAGGAAATTTAAGACAATGTGATGGGCAAGAAGATAGAGACAGGACAGAATGCTGTTCTGCAAGCTGCCTTGGTTGTAAGCTCTACTAAATGTAGGCATTAGAAATATTGAACAAACACGCTGTGTTAGAAAAACTCTGCAGGAATATTGTGAGTGAATGAGGGCTAAGAGAGCAATACTAGTTAAACGCTGCTGCCACACACACACACATTCAAACACACAAACAAACAACAATTTCCACCATCACAATCCTCTGCTCGAGTGGAACAGGATAGAACGGCAGGGGGATGTAAGGAAGCAAACATTGAAGGTGACTCAAGATGGAACATGCAACTTAATTCTGAGCAGAAATCTCTATCAACAGATGACAGAGCTGCTAAGTTTGGAGGCTCCAAAAACTTCAACATCATGAGATTTTGAATGTTGTCTTCTCAATTTCCAGTCTTTACACCATCTGTCTGCATCAGGAGTGGTGATGGGCGGGATGATGGCCAATAATCTGAAGCTGAATTTGGGGAAGGGTCATAGCACAGTAATAGAACATTTGCCTTGTTTGCAGAAGGTCCCAGGTTCAAACTTCAGCATCTCCAGGTGGGGCTGGGAGGACTATTTACCATATCTCTGGAGAGCTGCTGCCAGGCAATGTAGACAATACATGAATCCATGGTCTGACTCAATGTAAGGCAGCTTCTTATGTTCCTAATCCTGACAAAATGGAGATGATGTGGGTCAGTAGTTCCTGAGCAGCTTGGCTCTCAAGTGCTTGAAGGAGCGCCTCCCAAACCAGACTTTGCCAGCAGTGGAAGAGACTTTGTTCGTGGTTCAGGAAATGGTGGCAGTGAGGAGGACAGTCACACAATATGGCATTCCCCATGGCAGCACCACACCTATGGAAGTTCCTCCTAGGTGAAATCAGACTGTCTCCTCACTTTGAAAATGCACCTATTTATCCAGCTATGATTTGAGTTTGGGAGGTATTGCCTGTTGCTGTTTTATTGCTGGGGGGGCTGGTGAATGCTTTTAATGTGTTCTTTGACATTGTGTTATCTGCCTTGTGCTCCTTTTTGGAAAGGAAGGTGTGGCGTGAAAATAACAACTAAATAAATAATTAGCAACACACTTTTTAAAGCACTGATATATCCTCTTATTCATAAGGCCAGTTAGGAACAAGTATTATTATATTTTTTAAAAGCCCAATGAAATAAAAGCATCAGATTTGCCTTAGCTCTGCAAGAGTCCCTGGCATTCAACAGCATCAGGCTGGAAGCATCCTTTTCTAGCTCAGTTATACATACTAGAACCCAGTAACCCAGTTTGCACAACACACCAGGACAAACTGTGGAGTGGAACTTGCACACACTTTGCTCTTTTTTTGCTGCTGCATTAGGCTAAACCAAGTTTTGGCTTTACAGTGGTACCTCGGGTTAAGTACTTAATTCGTTCCGGAGGTCTGTTCTTAACCTGAAACTGTTCTTAATCTGAAGCACCACTTTAGCTAATGGGGCCTCCTGCTGCCGCTGCGCCACCGGAGCCCAATTTCTGTTCTTATCCTGAAGCAAAGTTCTTAACCTGAAGCACTATTTCTAGGTTAGCGGAGTGTGTAACCTGAAGCGTATGTAACCTGAAGCGTATGTAACCCGAGGTACCACTGTACAGTGTTTCCTTGAACTGGGCCAAGGCTACAGCTCAAGACGGGATAAAATAACTTAGTTGCAAGTCCCAGTTTGGATGACATACTAAACCAAAACATGGCTTAGCTCAGAGTGACATTGCAGAGAAGGGGATGGGGGGGGGGGGGGAGCAAAGTGAGCTGCTCTTTGGGAGCCTGCACATTCACACAGTCTCACTAAGCCCAGGTTTGGCTTAGCATGTTGTGTGAATGAGCTCAGTCTCTTGTTTTTCTTATTATGAACAGCTGCTAGGAGTCTCATGGCACTATAACTATATAATGCTTCCTGACTTTTATAGTTTTATATTTACTTGAAATGCAGTTTCGAATCATGAGAGTTTGAATAGAGCAAATGAAGAGCAAAGACTTGGAGGCAGAAAAGGGTATAGAGATAAGGCTTGGAGAGGTGACCCAGCAAATAGTGGAACAGACCACCCATAAAACTGCCGCTCCATGGCATGATGTGAGCATCGCTTCTGTTCTGATGACATATGTAAGCAAGAACATTGTCCCTCAGAAAGGTTTCGATGTTGACGAAGATGATAATGGGGCCTCTAGATATACTGAGATATAACAAGCCCTCCTTGCCTAGGGGTTCTTTCCACACATCCTGCTGGAATCAATAGCAAAACTGCCATAGATTTTAATAGAAATAGATTAGGTCCTATTAAAACAGTGGCAAGAGTGTTTTCTGGTCTTCGGTGTATGTTGCCAGACACATCTGTACATTGCGACTGCCCTCTAGTGCATCATTTTAGAATTTCATCACACAGTCAAATCTATGTAGTTCATAAATCCTTTGAACTTCTAAAAGTTATTTAAAACTTTCAAACTCTCTAACTTTTAATAAATGAACTGGTTAGTCAATTAGTATAAATATTACTGTATGCAATGAATTTTGAGGATGTTTCTTCGAGCTCACAGTTTCTCTTAGCTAAATAACACAATGTTATGGGGAAATTATCTCAAATTCATTACCCGGATCAAGCAATATTCACAATGCCAGGCTGAACTGAACATCATTATGCCAGGCATAATGATTCTTATTTTTTATGTTTTCACTTAAGATTCTATGCAGGTTTATTTAGCTGATGTACTATTGAAGCTTGTTTAACACACACACACACACACACACACACACACACACACACACACAATATCCCTATCTTAGATGTTGCCTATTTACAGATGTAATTGTTTCTTTTTGAATTTCAGTTTGTATGAGAAACCTGGGATCTCAGGTTTAGGACCCTTGAGTAAAATGGCCATCCTGGCCTTCATCTTTTTGTTGGCCTTTGTCCAAGCTGAATCTGCAAGCCGTGAGTATTTAACCAACCACCGGGATATTAAGAACACTATACATCTTCATAAGGCCAGTAACCCAAAACATTTGTACCCCTTGATGTAGTTTAACCAACAGGCACTTGTGAAGAAACAAATACGTAAGGAATGATCTTGCAAATCCCAGTACATATAAGTCCCATGAATCTTAATGGATTGATTTAAATTCATGGAATGTAAATATGCCTAACTTTGATTGGGATATGTTCCTGTATATTTTAGTGTTTGTTCCAGATGGTACTAAAATTAATTCTGCTTATTTTTTAAAAATTCTGATAACCTGGGTGGTGCCCTGGCTTTTCTAATCATATGCTGATGTTTCTAAAGTGTAAACTGCGAAGAAGTGGCCTCCTTCAGTAATATATTGCTCAGCCTAAAAAGCAGAGGCAGGCTTTATAGATGGTTATTATATAGATGAAAGTGAGGTGCTGTAAAGGCATTTGACACTGTCCAGCTGCCCTTTCTGTTTGCAACACAACAAACCTGCAATGTTGGAAGAACTTTTAGAATGCAGGGTGTTCAATCCAATACGAAATAAGAAATCTGTATGAATGGGATTATACCCCTTAGCATTTCAATTTAACCACTTTCCCTAAAGGGCTGCTTTCCCCCATACAAATCTGCAGAGATCCTGAGATCATAGACCCTTCTGAGCATGCCAACCCTCAGAAAGGTCCAGAGGATGGTGAGGAGAGCCTTCTCTGTAGTGATATATGTCAGAAGCTGCCTAATATGGAATAGGATGTCCCTATTTTCATCGGAAAAATGTTGGCAAGTATGACATGCTTGCTTTCCCAAGCATTTGGGACGTACCAATATGGTACTGTAGCATTAAAACAATTTTTAGTATGCTTACGTCGTTTATTATTACTTACAAAAATGCAGGATCCTCAACCTGTTTGGGGAGAAGCTACAGATATGCAACATATAAGGTGTCGGGGCAGGGCAGAACGGGATTTAAGTTTCATTTGTCAGCAGATCACACAAACTGCATATGGCAGAGGCTCAATCTTATTTAAGGCTTGTAGTTGACACTCTCCATAATTTCAGCTTTTATTTTAGTGATGCGGTGGCAGCTAGTGATGTGCACTGTTTGTTTCCCTTTTCAGTGTTAACTTCAAGTCCCATATTTGGACCACGGCAGGTGACTGGGTTGCTTGGAGGCTCAGTGACTGTGAAATGCTTTTACCCTCCCACTAGTGTGAATAGACACAGCAGGAAGTACTGGTGCAAGGAATCAACACGGCAATGTTCAACCATCATTTCTAGCAATGGCTATGTTGCTGGAGCGTTCAAAGGCAGAGCCTTAATAACAGACTTTCCAGAGAATGGCATATTCACTATATTAATATCAGAGCTTAGAAGAGGAGACATGGGGATGTACAAATGTGGTGTTTCACTAAATGACAATGGACTGTCTTTCAGAGTGAAGCTGGATGTTTCCGAAGGTAAATATATAATGCTACTTTATTTTCTGTCAGAAGCAGGCTACAAATATCCATTTATCTATGGCTTATTGGAAGATGAGATTTTTAGTTTCCAATTTTTCCTGCTTCATCCTCTGCATAACTAAATAATCTTATTGTTTTATTGTTTTATTCTGGGACAAACAAATTCTGAATACATATGAGCTGTGGATGGGAATGTAAGTGAGTGGGAAGGGGGGTAACATAGTGGTAACTGTGTCACTTCTTGACACGAACAGTTGTAGATGGGGAGTGAGAAAGTCCTTGAAGTCTCCAACTGTTTAATTACTTTTTTTGGGGGGGGGGAAGCTAATGGAAGAAATGTAGGAGGTCATAACATGTAGAACCATGGAGCAATACATAGTGCAATGCAGAACAACATGAGATTGTAGAATGGAAGATGGAGAATTGGTAAAGCTATGTCTCCTTACTATAGATTCAACAGTTCCGGATGAAGCTCAACTCATTTATGTTGAGCAGCATGGATCAGTGACTATGAACTGTGACTTGGGTGCGCAATATGGAAGTGCTCGGAAGTACCTGTGCAAGATGTCAAAGAATGATTGCTACACTGTTATTGACTCGTATGGAAAAATTGACCCAGCCTACGAAGGAAGAGTTATGCTGACCTTTCTTGGGACTCCTGGATCATTCAGTATCTTTATGACCCAGTTAAAGAAGAAAGATTCAGGGTCATATCTCTGTGGAGCTGGAATCTATGGGGCAGGGGGAGAATCCAAGGAACTGGATATACATGTCTATGAAGGTGGGTAATGGGCTGGGAGATTTTGCAGTCCTAAATGCAAACAATGTGCCCTCTTAATCCTTGCCTATCATGTCTGATAAAATCTAGTAGGCAGGAATTGACTGGATGGCTCTAGGGAGTGGACAATGTCTCACTATGGGAGGACGTTATGCCCACTGCCTTGAAGGAGGCCCCTCTTGAAGAGGTCCTCTCTGGATCCAGAGGTTTTACAAAATTACGATCCAGTCTCTAATATTCCTTTTACTGGGCAAGGTGATTGAGAAGGTAGTTGACCAGCTAGCTACGGGTATGTCTGGAAGAAGCAGATTATTTAGATACATTCCAGTCCAGTTTCAAACCCAGTTTCAGCACCGAAACAGTGGGAAATGCGATCCTGTTGGTTTCCTTGACATCTCCGTGGCTTTTGATACCACTGTCTATCGTGTTCATCTGGAGCAACTCAAGGAAGTGAGAATTGTATTACAGTGGTTCTACTCCTATCTGCAGTAGTAGTACAGTACTAGGAGAATGTTTCTTGGCTCCATGGATTTTGGGCTGTGGAATCCCACAAGGGTCCATTCTGTCTACTATATTACAACATCTCTATGAAACCATTTGGAGCTATCATCTGGGGATTTGGAGCATGGTGTTATTAGTATGCTAAATGTCATTAAACGTGGCTTCTGTAGTTGACCACTTTTGTAATGTTTTATTTTGAAATCTTTAAGATAATATTTCAGTTTTCCGTTAATGATGTTGCTTTGAATATACACTTGACTTTATCCCATAATGTTTTATTCTATATTGTTTTATCTGATATTTTAATGTAAACTTCTTGAAGATTATTTTTTTCTTAAATACATACAGGGGTATAGAAATGAAATTAACAACAACAGCAACAATATAATTTCATGCCTTCTCTTTCTCCAGGGTCTTTGGTGCCCAAAGGACAACCTGTAGCAAGAGGAGTCCAAGGTGGATCAGTGTCTGTTGAATGCCATTATGATCCAAAAGAGAATTATACACGCAAACAGTGGTGCAAGTTAGAAAAAAACAGGTGCCTTCCATTAATAAATGACTTTGGGTATGTGATGGATTCCTATGAGGGAAGAATAGTGATGCATGATAACCCAAGTAATGGAACATTCACCATCCTGTTGAATCAACTGAATGAGAAGGATGCAGGGTTCTACTGGTGTGTAGTAGATGGAAAAGAGGAAAGAAGGTCAGCAACAGAGCTGAAGATTGTAGAAGGTAACAGACCATGTTTCTTCTAATGTGCTTCTCAGCAGAACTATATGCCTCTTTTGTTCAGTGTTGCAGAGCCTAAGCTGATACAGCACAGCAGGATCAAATGGAATCAGTCCTAAATATTATACTTGTTTTTCAAAGGGACTTTGTTGCAGATAATGAGAATAATCCAGACAGAAGCAAGCTGGATATGACATGAAATGCATTATTGCATAAAATACCCAGTCTTGTTTTTGGTTTGTAAAAAAGGGGCACTATTCACTGGGGGAGAGAGCAGGATTGGTTCAATGATAGGTAGGGTTTGGGAAGAAGAATGTAACTTATTTCCTGAGACCCCAGTGAAATCACCCCTCCCCCATTTGCATTAGTGATAATGGGAACTTTATTTCAGTGGAAATCCTACATAGAGTGTGGGAGGTGGGTAGATGGATAAATTGCAGTGGGTAGGTGGGTGGGATGGGTTAGACTGCCCTTCCCAACCCACTGGGGTTTTGATCCTTGTAGGATTATTCTCACAATGGTAGTTTACACTAAGAAAAAGTGCATATTAAATGTCTCATTTAATTCCCATTAATTTCAGTAAGAGAGACCAACTTAATTCTATCATTGAGATGAATGGGAATGAAAAGAGATTTATTCCTGCTAGATAATAGCCAGTTCTTTAAAATCACAGCAAATAGTTTCAGACAAACTCATTTGTGGATCTGGCTGTCTACATGTCCTTATTAGGGTACATTCAGAATAGCAATTCTTTGCAGATTCTGCTAAAGAAAATAAGGCAAGGATATGCTATCCAATTTTGAAATTTAATCACTAACTCTGCTTCCTGGTTTTATTGCTGCTGTTTACCTCCTTGAAGAGATAGGACTGCTCTGATAACTGCTTGTCCAGAGCTGCCATTGTTATACTCCTCCGCCACTTCTTTCCTTTACAGGAAATGTGTATCCAGTGCAGCCATTCCACTAGATAGCTTGTTAATTCCATCTGCTAATTTCTTAAGAAGCTAAAATAGGCTGTCTACACAAAGGGGCGGAGGAAGGGGGTGCGGTGGGGGCGGGGTGCCCCGGGTGTCACTACTAAGGGGTGTGTGCGACCAAATGCCAGGCTGCACTCTCCGTGGGGCCTGCAGTGTGCCTGAGCTACGCATCTCTCCTGGGAGTGACACGGTGGCTTGGGCGCCCGCAGGCTCTGTGCTGCCCCAAATGGTCTGCCCGCCACCTCCCCCTCAGCTGTAGGGCGGCTGAGTGGGAGGAGGCAGACAGACTCCTCTGAGGCCCCATGGAGTGTCCTGCCTCAGCTTGCCCCATCCCGCGGGCGGCTGGCCCCATCCCACGGTCGGCTAGCCCTGCCCCATGGTGCTCGATCAGCTTGCTCCGCCACTGTCTATACATCATATATTTGAAGCACCTTAAAAACACATTTCCCCCTGTGCAGAATCCTTGAGACAGTAGTTTATCCCTTATAGAGCTACAATTCCCATTCCCACGATCCCATTTGGGGAGTGTGCATGCTTTGAAGGAACTTTAAAGGTATGGCATATACATTGCCTTTGAGCCTAATAATCAGCCAGCAGACCCTGCCACTTCATAGGCCTATAAACCTAGGGTTGGAGGTTTCATTTCGATTCTTACTATGCCTTTTATCTTTCCGTTGAAAGGGAAAAACCCAAAGTACATTCTACTTGGGTTTTCTGCAGCAAATACTATCTATAATTGCCTAGTTCATGCATTCTATTTGTCACATGACATATTCATCTGCTTAGGAAGGTCTGGTCTGGTCCAGTTAGGGGCGTTTGATGTGATATATTGTATACCAGCTATTTCATTTAATAATGCTAAAATTAGGCTCTCTGTCTTTGATTTAAAGTGATTTACTGATGGCCTATTTACTTCTAATTTTCCCCCGCTTTTGAAACAGGGAAACCCAATTTAGTAATAGATAATGAGATCAACGCTGTTGTCGGTGCCCCACTGAAACTATCATGCTCTTACTCATGTGAATATGCTGATTATGAGAAGTATTGGTGCAAGTGGAAGAATACTGGATGTGAACCTCTCGTCTTATCCACCCAAAATGAAAACGGCTTGGTGGTTAACTGTGATGCAACCAACAGAATTTTGTCGCTGAATTTTGACCAAGTGTCACGAACAGATCAAGGGTGGTATTGGTGTGGAGTCAGACGTGGAGGTCACTATGCAGAAACAACTGCAATGCATCTGGAAGTGCAAGAAGGTGAGCTTCAGTTCTGATCAGAGGGACAACACAGTAGGTTTCATATCCTGTACTGTCCACAGTTTACCAGGCCTATTATGGGTTGCTTCCAAATTTTGACACATTATAATTAGTGAGCACTTCAAGATGTCCACTCTCAAGTTATGGAGCAGATTTATGCTTGTGGGTCTTTGCCTTTCATGGATGACATGATTTAGCTATGCTCCTGGTTTCCTAGAGTGCCATAATTCATATTTAAACCACTCAGTTAAACAATTCAGAAGATACTTTTTCTATAATTTGATTCTGCGAGTAACACAGATTGGCAACAATTAAACACAGGTGCATTTAAAGGCACTTCCACACAACAGATTATTGTGGATTCCTGAGGCATACATGCTCTTTTAGCCTCTGCATAGAGCCCTTTGCCCTTCCTTTGCCAATAATTCATGTTAGTTTACAACAGCTTCTCATTTTGTCTAAAGCAGGAATCTATCACCCAGGATCTTAAACCATGGCTTGGCTTAATATCCTGGTTTCATATCCGTTTCTATGATAGTAAACCTTTTGTTTGGACAAAATGAGAAACTGTAGTTAATTAAAGCCTCCTTGGTTTTATTGTGAATAATAGGGCAGGTATGAAGGGGGTCTGTGTGCAAGCAATAAGCCATGATACAACCATTATCAGAAGGTACTGACTATTTTATTTCTTTCCTGCTTTTTGTTTTCTTATATGTTGCTTGATACCAATTTCCCAAACATGCTTAAATAGTGTTTCAAAACCCTAAAGAAGATTCCAGTGCCGACAAAGAACCCAGTGATATAATTCCTGAAGTCAACCCTAGAAGCAGGGGCCTTCCCTTAAATGAAGCTAAGGAGGCAACTGGAGTTGATAGCCCAGTAGACAGGTGAGCGACTGTAAAAGCCTTAAGGATGATGTGTGAGTGCATTGTATAAGGAGAAGCAAGGGATCTAAAAGAAGAAGCAAGTCACATTTTGTTACTGAATTTATCATTTTGAGCAATCAGATAAACTGACAGTTAGCACTTGCTGAGGGCCAGGCCTGCTCCCCTTTGTGTAAAAATAGAGTCCAATTTGAAATACAAAGAGAACACACAGAGGAAGAGTGCAGAGCCAGTTCTCACCCGCTTCCTGTGATCTACCTCCCTGCAGCTTTTCTCCCCAGACATTTTTCTGCTTGTCAGAGAAAAGGGCTTGAGCTGAGGAATGAGAAGCAGAATGGTAGGAGAAGGGTCCTCTATTTCTCACCTGTATGTCCCTTTGCTTTCAAAATTAGACCTCCCTCCCTCTTTCTGTGTGATTGGGGCTCTTCCATGTTGAAAAACTCATGGAGCTACCATAAGCATGTAAAGTTTGCTCCTAATACTAATAGATTCTGGGAATGTACCTGAAGTATTTAAAATATCGTAAGAATATAAGTAACACCATGTCAACAGAGTATTTAGGCAAGTTTATCTGTTTCCTAAAATTTGTATGCACTGGTTATTCATTCTAAAGTTACTACAGTTCCAATTCAACTTCTCTTTCAGCCATGAAGATAGCAAAAATTCCTCAGTTCTGGTCTCCACTTTAGTCCCCCTTGGAGTTGTATTTCTGCTTCTTGTCGCAATTGGTATTGTTGTGAAGCGCAAGGTTTTCAAGCATTCAGGTGAATCTATACAAGTTCTAGGGTGTGTGGAATATAATTGTAAATTTATGTACTTTTTGTTGTAATTTGAGTTATAATTTTAATTTTGTTATAATTTGAGCACTTGAATTATCACTTCCCAAACAATATATTGTGAACATTAGCAAGGTGAACTTCAGAAACGTTTTCCTTGGGTTCATGTTGCCTTGGGATCTCTCTTTGTCTCTGAACTCCTGTTAGAAACAACTCACAGGCCATGAATGCCCAGATGCACTTGAAGGCTCATATACTCTATGAAGCTATACTGGCGTCCTTTTGTCTTCTGGATCACGGTTAAGAGTAAGAGTGTAATGGTCCTGGTATGAAGTATTCACATGGGTGGCACAGCAGCACAATCACTAATTCTACCTGTTAGCCTGATGAGAGACCCACAAATATTTTCTCTGGCTGAAATCCTATGCTTGCTTTCTTTGTAGCTGCAATGAATGAAGAGGACCTTGCTTCAGAATTTGAGATGGGTTGATATGTCTCAATATTTTGGCTTCTCTCCATGTCTCATCCGCCCCCCCCCCCAGTCTTAAGTTCAGTTATCCACATTTCTACATCAGTTTGCATTTTTTTAAGTCCTCACGGAAATTCATTAGCATTTTTGTGCAAATTTCTCCTACTATGTATGTTTTTTATATGCAATTTTGCATAAAGTACACAATTTTTGTAAACCATTTTTTTTCTGATATAATGCATTATTTTCACCAGTATATGTATTTATATGCACAATTTACCACAGTATTATGGATTTTTGTTCACATTATGTGGCTGAAGAACTGCATTGCATTTCCCCACTCCTTTCTACAGATTTGGTCTCAGTTGGAAGCTACAGGACAAACATCAGCATGACAGATTTTGAGAATGTGAGACAGTATGGAGCAAAGGACAATGTATGCATGGAAGATGCTAATGAGACCCAGTTAGGGACCATGGATGGTAAGACCCCTGTATAACATTTACTCTAGCTACAACTAGGTGTTAATGGGGAGAGACAATGCAATATAGTGATTCAGTTAAGAAAGTTGTGTATTCATGGAAGAGCTTTCTTTTATTTTCATGTTCAGCCCCTTAACATCTCTCATTCTTTACAGAGAATATAACCAGTGGCAGTCCTAAGGAGACTGGTAAACCAAAGAAGACAAAGAGGGTAAGAGCGAGCTAGATTAACAGGACTATAATAGTCCCTTGGTAATCCCAGTTACGAAGCAGGGGGAAAAAACACCTTATTTTAAAAGCTTCTAGTGTTCTTTGCATGTTACTGTATTAAGCAAGGACTTTGGGGGCGGTTCCCCCTAAACTGTCACACTCCTTCCCTTCCTTTCAGAAGGATGCACAAACCGTTAGTTAGTTTAATTTGTTATTTCTCTTCCTTTTTTAAAAAAGTCTACTTTCTTTTCTTTTGTTGTCTGTTGATTGTAGTTTCACATTAACTGTTGTTTAAATTTACGTTTCAGTTTGCTAGCCCCTTTGTGAACCATCATGGATGAAAAATGGTATAGACTGTTGCAGGCAGTAAACTAGTTAGATCAAACTAGCTGCCTTCATGTGTGCAGCACATGAAAGGGTGCCCCAGGGAATGCTGGGAATGCTGCTGGTTTCACCCCTGGATGGTCACACATTGGTATGGATGCCTGCATTAAAGGAGCAAAGCGTGTGAGAATCTGTGTGCATGCGGGCTTCCACATTACTGATCATGCAGGGGTGCAAATCATATGAAAACCTACCCATGAGCAGCTGCTTCTTTGATGCAGACATCTAAGATATCTCTGAGTGCTTCACAAACTGGAGCTCTCTCTGAGAAAGCGGCCATTTTGTCACATGGACCAAGTTAAAATAGTACTGGGGTTTCTGTTTGTTCTTTTAGGGCTCCACGGAGGAAATTGAGATGGCTTATACCACAGTCCTGCTGAATGAAGGCAACAAGACCCCTGCAAGAAGAGACCAGGAACAATAGAGCTTTGCAGATGGCTGAAGAGTTTGATTGCAAATGCTGGAAGACTGGTGGAAGCCAATTATGCAATAATGACTAAAGACAGCCTATGATTAGAATAAGTGAATAGCGAGCTATGCTGAGATCCTAAGATTTCCCCAAATTGTTTCAGTTCTGCCACATACTATACAATATTTCTTGATCAATATATATACTCCTTTAAGGGTCAATAGTTTCATATCAAAATTATATAATTAATAAAGTTTTGTGATTTAGGAGAAATGTACTGATGGTAAGAGCAGTTAAACAATGGAAGCAATTGCCTAGAGGGGTGGTGGGACTCTTCCCTCACTGGAAGTCCTCAAGCACAGGCTGGACAGTCAACTGTTGGAAGTGCTGTAGCTCTGGATTTCCTGGTGTTGAATTCGGTCCCCTACAAATCTGTGCCTGATTGATTGATCTTCTTTCTCTCACCACATCCACACAAAACATTTAAAGCACTATTATACCACTTTAAAAGTCATGGAAACTGCATTTTGTTATGGGTGCTGACCTTGCAGAGCTGCATTTCCCAGCACCCTCAACATTTCCCATGAGTCTTCATGACTGTTCAAATAGTACAATGGTGCTTTAAATGTATGGTGTGGAAGCCCCCCACCCTCTTTCCACTCCACCACATTTTAGAGATTTTCATTTCATGCAGTTTTATTGAGAAAATGTAAAACAAAACAAAATGAAGCAATAATCAGAAAAGCAATGAAACTAGGATCACATAATCATGCAATCATGAATAGAAGGAAAGGGATGGGGAGGTTGGGGGGGGGACTATGATTCTGTACCTGATTATTTTTGTGAAACGCTGAAACATTTTAAACTAATAGGCATTGATTTGGAAACTTTATACAAATGTTGTGCCCATCTGTATATGAAAACAACAGCTGGATTTTGCTGTTGATGGCCTCTGGATAATGAGAAAAATAATCGTTTAAAAATTAATTCAGTAAACGCAAAACATAAAAAGATTATTTTTTTGTTTGTCAGCCTGACTCTGTAATCTATAATCATCTGGAATCAGTGACTTTATAGTTATTTGTATGCAATGTTTTTGAGCAGTGTGTTCTGACATAAAAATATCCTGAATGTGAATTTGGAAGTTGAGTTTGTTGCTGATTTTGAGAGAGAACTCATGATTTTGAAAGAGAAGCATGTTATGAAGATCTGGATATATGTATCCATTACTAGATGAGGTGTTTACATTTTACAACAAGGAGACATCCCTGAATAGCAAATGCAACATAGTTCTGTTACACACTTGATAGAGCAAACTGGAATCAAATGCTGAGCATCTGGTAACCACTCTTTCGTTCATCATTTTTGATCTGTGGCCATTTCAATAGGAACCAAATCACTGGGGGGGAGGGGAATAAAATTTGCTTTGGTAAGAATAAAAGGGGTTGGGGGTGCAGACAAGCACCTTTGTTTCATGGGCATGCCAGTAGCATGATAGCTACAGATACAGAATGGCTCCTTTACTGTGCCTCATATATTATATAGTGATAGAGTTGAAACCTTTGGTCACACTGCAAGCCTATATTACTATATCTATTTTGTGAAATTGGTCTTGTTTACCTTCCTTCTACTTGGTTTGTTTACACAAAGGAGTCAAGTTGCACAACTAGATCTACAAGCTACATGTAAACATAATGAATAGAGCATCTGACTAGATTGGTTCATCATCCCATCTGGGCAAAGGATGCAAATCCCAGACTTCCGGGACAGCGCCATCGGCAATGGCGGAGTTCCTCTGACCGAGAGGAACCCGCTCCGTGAAAATCGGGTCTTGCCGCCGCGGCGAAGGCGGAGACCCTCTAAAAATCCCAGGCGGAGGAAGCCTGGGAACGTGGGATTCGGCTGACACCAGGAGCGCTCCCCTACTCGCAGGGAAACCCTTTTCGGGGATCCGAGCGACGTGGGGTGAGTGGCGCGGTGTTTTGAATCAACCGCTACTTTTACGGAGTGAAGCCGCACAGCCGTTGCCGGAGAGCGCTGACTTTTTCCTGTGGACAATTGGACTCTAAACAAGTACCCGTGAGTAGAACGGAAAATTGGATTAAGAAATATTTTAATTTGACACCGAAACGGGAAGGTTCTAAACAGGAAGTCCGCCTCCCGTTTTTTGTAAATAGATTGAAGCAAAAATTTTGTAAGCTAAAGTCTGGAAAGTCGTATATAAAGTTCTAAATTTCCTTCATTCATCACCACCAAAACCCCTCTTGGAAGCAGGAGAAAAGAGGGGGATTTTTGACTGTTTAAGCCTGCAGGAGAGAGAGTAAAGAAAGATAAATTTTCCACCGTCTCAAACCTGGGAACGGGGTGTCAGAGACAGGAATTTATGGGGAAGTTCATCGACTGTGAATGGAACGTCTTTTGACAGATAGTTTAAAAAAGAAGAAGAGAGAAATAAATTGACTCCAATGTTGCTTCTTGCAATCAAAAGAAACAAAGTATTTGAAATGTGAAAGTAATTTTTCTTTGTTGGTCCTGCTTTTAAAAGATGGATACAAATAGAAATTGTCTCCTCTAGAGGGAGCTTGTTAATTTGTTGCCGGAGCTGATCTGGGGACCTCACAGCTGTATGATTAGGATCGTGAGACCAGACTCTAACCTTGGGGGGGGAAATGTGTTTACAAGAAGTCTTGGTGCTTGCTTTTTGCAAGACAAGTGCTTTGCTGGAGCAGATGCATGAGAAGATGGATTTGATGACTGTTGCAGTTAAAAACTTTGGACAAACGGCGAATACCCATATAGAAACCATTCAGGAACCAGCCCAGGAATCTGTTTTGATAGGGCAAGCGCAAGTGCAGAAGAAAATGGAGGAGGTTGCTGTTGAACCTCAAATAACACAAATGGAGAGATCCGAGGCCTTGCAGGAGTATAAGCCGCTGTTCTTGAAGTTTGAATCTGGAGTGGACCAGAGGGGGTCTGGAGTTGTGAGGGCTCTTAATTTTGGAAAGACTTTGAAACATGCTTTTAAATACTTTCTGGATTACAGTGTTGACTGTGGGGAATGGGACTGTGGGGAATGGGCTGATCTGCTGAGGAGAGATGGAGATACTTTTGGATTGGAGTCCTCCCGAGACCTACCCCCCAATGAGAAAGGAAAGAAAATAAGAAAAAGATCAACAAAAGACAAAGTAAAGGGCAGGTATAAACAAGAAGAAGACCTGCAGAAGGGACATGGAAAAGACTTAAGAGCCTCGGACATAAGAGCACCAGGTTGATGGATTAGATGGATGAGAAAGGACTGACAAAACCCGAGACCAGGAAGAAGAGACGATGGATGAAGATTGGAAGAAAGTTTTAAAAATTTATTTAGAAAAGTATTGTAAAATTAATGAGTATTAGGAAAATGTTGGAATGAAATTATTTGGCTTTAGCAGAAATGTCAAAAAGAATTATGTAAGAATATGTTATGGTTAAAAGAATTTGGTATATATAAGATTTAAGTTTTAAGTTTTAGGGTTTTTTAGGGTAAGATAAGGTTAAAATAGATTAAGGTAAGTTAATGACAGAATATTGTGAAAGATGGAAAGGATTTGCTGAGATAATTAACAACTAGAATACAAAAAAGGGAGGTGTGAGGAGGTCGTGGAAATAAGTTAATGAAAGTTAAGGATTTGGGAATATTAGATTTGTTTTTTAATTTTTTGTTTATTTTTGTTTTTTGATTTAGATGCATTGTGTGTTTTGTTATTTTTTTGACTTTGGTTTTTATTGATCTGTATTGTTTAATTGTTATGTTTATCTACTTCTTTCTCTCTTTTTCTCCTTCTCTTGTCTTCTCTTTCTTTTTTCTTTGTAACTTTAAAATTCTCAATAATTATCATATTTTTTTAAAAAAAGGATGCAAATCCCAGCTGAAATATTCCTATGTGGTTGGCGCTAATGCATCTATTGACCAGATTTTTATTGCTGCAAGGTAGCTATAGGAGACCAGCACACTCTTTCTCAAATATCACACCAACGGTTTGTTTCTGGAAAAGCCAGCAAATAAATCAAAATATGTAATCATTTAAATATTAACTTTTGGACAATCTGAATTGCCAAGTCTGCTAATTATATCACATCATATCATCTGATATAATCAGTCGATATGATGCTACAGTTCCTCCGATTGTATTCATTTGTACAGAATTTCAGTTTCTATGCATTAGAACTGAAAAGAAGTGGGGGGAATTCTCAAGTTATTTTTGCTGACATTTGGTGAATGTATATTCCGTGAGTTCGATTCCCCCCTTTCCTCATTTTATCAATTTTAGATCAAAGCAGATGCTTGCAGAAGCACTTCGGTGGTTGGCTGCTGTGAGAAAAGGACACTAGACTAGATTGGTTATTGGCTGTTCTTATGAAATCTTTCTGGAAAACCACAACAGAGTCTATGCCAAAGTCTCTCATAAAACTTTTTCAATATAAGCCCCTTTTCTACCTCAAATACATCAATGGACAATTCTCAAACCTGCCCCTCTCTTACACCGCCAAGTTTCCAATCATCCCGTTGAATAATTTTTTTCCTATAAGCCATGAACCTACTGCTCCAGTTTCTTATTATAATGATGGAATGTGATTTAGCTGACTCACAGACAACATAAGGTTGTCTAACAGAACTAACGACCAAAGTTGCTATAAAAGATTCAGACAGCATCTCTAATATTTGCACTTGTCAGTTGTAATAGGGTAATGACAGTTTAAGCCAGGAGAGGGTGCAAGAGGCACACAGACTAAGAATGATTAGAGGTGTTCTCATCCCTCTCTCTCTTCCTGGCACTGGGGATGTTTTTCTGACAGGAGGGGGGGTGGCTTTTGGTGGGAAGCTGCAGGTGGAAGCGAAAGTGGTCTGCAAGGGGGTGGGGATATTGTGACCTTTTTGTGGGGTTAGAGACTGAGGAGGAAAGTACACCTTGTGAACTTGCTGAGGGAAACCGATGCAAGGAGAGGGGAGGTGGTGTGGTCATGAGGGAAACTGA